AAGGTATGTGCCCGGAGTCTGTCAACGCTTTGGTAATAACAGGCCCATCTTAACGCATCAGCCCCCGCAGGCCCCCTCCTCTGCGTGGACCAAAACGGCATGAGTGACTCGTGCGCGCAGGAATGGCTGAGCATCACGTACGGCTGATTGGGAAGAACCCCGTGGCGTCATCAGCGCCCCCCGGACCTAAACCGCGAAAACAACAATGGAAGTCGAGATGCGTTCGTGAGACGACGCTAGCTTCAGAAGCTCCCGCGATTATGAAACCGGCACCTCGTAAGCATCCCGCGAGGCCATCGCGGCGAGCGCGACTCTCGACACGTCGGCGACAATCACTTTGACGCCGATGAAACAAAGCCGCTTGCTTCGGTTGAGAACATCTCGGGGGGCTTCCGCCGACGGCGCAAACAGAGAGGTCGTCAACCCTTGCACCTGCGCCGCCTCGTAAGCGGGCGTCGGATTTGCGCGGTCGCGTCGCGAGGGAACAACGGGGAATGACTGCGGGCTCGTGACGAGGCTGGAAAGTGAGAGCTATTTTTCTTGAAGGAACGAGGCGCTAACGTGATAAAGAGAGGCGGATGACAGCGAGCAGCAGGCATCTCGTTTTCAAATATTAAGCGCAGACAGAGGAGCACTGTGGAGCCTTGACAAAATGTGTCAGGAGGATTGCGACGCGCACTTGTCTAAGTTCATACAATTCCATTTTTTTTTTTTTTTAAGATGCTGCTTTTGATAGACTTGAAACGGAAGACATTTTCGGAGGGGTCGGGTGCTTTTTGTGCGCCGGATAAAAGGTGCAAAAGGATCCGTGTGTGAAACTTGGCCTCAACACTGCAGGGCGAAGACGCTCCAGCTGCTGTCTGAGGTTCGACAACCCCCCCCCCTTTAAAAAAATACACAGCTTATGTGTGGCTCGTGTGCATACATATGAATCATCGCTGCCTAAATAAAAAAGATGTTCCAATTCAAAGGAGGCCAGAGAGGAACCTAATACGACTAAAAGTGAACTTCGGTTTGTGAAGCTAAAAGATGAGGCCTGCAACGTTTGGAATGAGGTTTCAAAAAGCTGTCGAATTTCTGGACCAACATTCCAGAGGGGACTCGTTCCAAAAATGCCAACAACACATAAAAAAGGAGCTTTTGCAAAAAAAAAAAAAAAAAACACTTAACCAAAAATTTCTTTCTGACTGAACTTGCCTGACAGGCAAACGCACCTGTCGCCGACACTCCACAAGTCCCAAAATCGACACTTCGAGAGGATTAACATTGAAGCTCCAATTAAAGACGTCGTCTTTACACGGTGTCCGCTTTCATCCGCGCCGTAACGCTTTGGGAGTACACACACAGCTTGACGCTTTGTGCGTCCCAGTGAGACCATTTTTGAAAGCCGCAAGAAACCGGTTGACGTTTCAGACGACGAAGCTACACTGAGAACTGCCTTGGCATCATCCCTATTCTCACACTTGTCATGCCCCCCCTTGCTTCCCTTGCTAACATTCCGATAGCAAGTCATCACGCCACATTTCTAACGCCCCCCCACCCCCGCATTTTTTTTTTCTTAATCTGTGACGAGTGAAAACAAAGAGGGATCACTGTGTCGCTTGAGTGAGAGCAAATATATGTTCGGGGTCACGACCTGTTGGGGTCTTGAGTGGGCAAATCAGTGCAGATAGCCGCGGCGGACATAGGTGGCCGGGCATCCGAGGATAGTTTATGATATGATGTGTCGCCTAAAAATCATGACAGAAGGTCAAGGCCAAGAAGCGGTAGGCTAAGACATCTTGAAGAACAATGAAACGACAAACCTCTGTCTGAAAACCCAGAAGCCCCACCCACCCCCACCTCCTAACCCCAGCCTTCACCCTTTTACCCCCTTGGCCTGAAGCTCTTGTGTTTGCAAACAAACAACGCCGCTCTTTGAAATCCCCACTGCAAACACGCTAGCATGACGGGACAACACCTCAGCGGAAAATCCACTTTCCGCCGGCCTGACCCCGACGAAGATTTCCTTTGTGGGCCTTCTCTGCCCTGTAATTGAGCATTCAGACATCAGCGGAGTCGAACAGTGACCAGCCGAGGTCACTTGGTATTTACACTTCAAACCCACAGCCTGAAGGCAAACACGCCGCAAACATTTTTTTTTTAGAGAGCAAAATAAAGAGGACGCCGGTAAATCGAGTTTGGTGAACTCGCTTGAGCAGACAAGCCATGCAGACAAAAGGGGAGGTAGAACAGTGATCTAATAAGTTTCAGGAGCCACTCGAGGGGGGACGGATTTAGCCGCGGCGACCACGTGGAAAAGAGACAACGGCACAAAGAGACACATTGAGCCGAGAGGAATACGTGAGAGAGAGCGTGAGCAAAGTACATTGAGACAGAAAGCAAATGAGGCGACGGCGTGTGACATCGGAAAAAAAACGAACGAGATTTCATTTGCGTGTTTGTCAACGACCGGAGCACTTCGCACATACGTTTGCCGTGACATCTGTTACAGTCTATCCGTGTAGCTCCTAAGTAGCAGGACCCCTCCTCCGGCTGAGTCCATCAAATGGGAGGTGAGAGGTTGTGTGCCGAGCAGTTCAGGGTCAATCGCCGGTTCTCGTCCCACTTTGATCTCGCAGGTGGGACGCCCTCGTTTCGGGATGCGTCCGTGCGCACCCATCGGGGGAAGAAAATCACCTTTCTCTGGGCTATCAGGTGATAAAGAAAATACCGTGCGTCGGAACGCCCACATAACAATGCCATGAATTGAGGACTCGGAAAGACACCGATGTGGTTCAGAAATGTTGTAGCACACATGTCTCCCCCCCCCCAAAAAAAAGCCCTTTGTTATATTTATGTTGCTACAGCGTCTTAGTGGAACTCCAAAATAAAGCACAAGAGGAGTGAAAGTGTGGATTGTGTTGGTGGTGGGGGTGGGGAGGGGGGGGGGCTATTGAGAGCAGACAAAAAAAAAAAGCTGAGCTATGCAACTCCTTGAAGAGGATTAAGAAGCAAACCAGATGCATGGCAGCCAATGACCCACGGAGGGGAAAGGGGGGGGGGGTGCATGTAGCAGCACGTCATCTTTCAACGGAGCCATAGAGAAGAGCATCTGAAGACAGTCAAGCATCAATCACTGCAAAGATATACCACACCTACACCAAGACCGCATGTAAAGGGGGGGACGGGGGGGGGGGGCGCCTATCAGGGGCATGCAATACAGTATTCCAAAATGCACGCTTCCCGCTGGACGAATGCGAACCAGACAAAGCAAACGGGGGAAATGAAGGCCTCGGGTTATGGTTTTGGGCTGACAGCTCGTTGGCATCGAGCCACCTGAGTGTGAGAGTCGGAACGCTTGATTTGCATAAATAACGAAAGGAATAAAACGGCAGACAGCGTCGAAGCCGCTCGCCAGGAAGCAAATTACAGCGGAGAGACCCTCAGCAGATAGTTATCGTTTCCTGAACCCCCCATCGCACCCCCTCGAATCTTCCGATGTGAAATTGGACCAGCTGAGATAAGGACGTGAACAAAAAGAACATACAGGCCTTAGCTATCGGGCTGCTCTTTTTTGACTCTATCTCCCGAGTACAGATGGGGCAGTGTTGTGGCTAGCTCAATGTGTTACGCGAGGGTATCTCAGGAGAGATAGCAGGGAATTCTGCAAGGGGGGGGGGGGATATTCCCAGGCCTTGTGAGTGCAAACACAAAAGCAGAAAAGGTACATAGGAGAAAGTGGTTAGAAATCATATTCTCCAAATAATTCCTAGTCAACAAATCCTGCCTTCATTTTCACTCTTTTACCCAGAGAGGCCAAAAAGGCATGGGCAACGACTAATGAACACCCCCCACCCCAGCCCCCCGCCCCCTTTGGGACCATCATGAGGTCACTGTTGTCAGGGATACACCGAGGGCTGTCAGCTGTTATTGACAAACAGGAGGGCAGGGGCTTTGAATCAAGTTGGGGGGGGGCTATAAGGTCTGGAACTATTGAGGTCAGCCACCCAATAGCCTCCCTCACCCACCCCGTAGACCCTCTGTGGGTTGTCTTTAAGAGTAATAAAAAGGACAGTCTGTCTTTTGTTTGAGACAAAGACGGAGAGCTAGTCACTTAGCAAAGCAACACCACGGCTCAAAGACCGTCAAAGACTTCCACCACCTGATGTGTGCATCAGACCGCCACTTTTATCTCCGCTCCAGAAGTTTTTTTTACCAGGCGGAATCCCGACCAAACGTAACCCCCAAGACGAAGAGCGCACGCTAGCGCCGTTGGTTAAAAGAAGGGTCATTTGTATTCCCGCAGAATGTTTCCCCATGCTGGCATTGCTCAGGAAATAGATGACAAGAGTGGAGGAGATCTCGCTGGGGTTGGGCTGTTTGCCCACTTTAACGGAGAGCAAGAAAGAGGGTGGGGGGCGGGGGTTACAAAGAAAGACAAAGGAGGTTGAGCAAGCAACTGTCAGGAGATGACTGGCCAGTTTATTCTATCGGGGTATTAGATTGATCCCGTCTTGACTGCCTGATTAATGGCGCTTGCGACACTTGCTTGTGTGTGCTTGTCAACGCCGCAGCTCTCGCCTCGCCGGCTGAGGCGGGGATGTCCACATGTTTGCGTTTGTCTAATCTTTAACTCTTAAAAAGCACAAAGTCTGCTTCCCAAGGTGAAAAACGACCGTTTCCACCCCCACCCCCACCCCAAGGGTCAGAGCCGACGCTTGGACGACTCAAAAAGTTGAACGCGAAACTCTGACCGCAACGACAAAAGGAGCTCGCCCTCCAACTAGCACGTTTTATTACCTCAACCATCGACCTTTACGCAACACACTGAAGCGGCTGAACCGGCTCACGTAAAGAGCCTGCAGCGGACTTCCTCATCTTACCGTCATGACAACAACAAAAAAAACTGTATCTGTATCGACTCGAGACCCTCGCCTTGAAAACATTTCAAACACAGTTTCAAAATACGGACAGAAATCACACGCACTGACTTGCACAAGATTCAAAAATTGTCTTACCGGTGACGGAGATGATCATGGGCGCCTCCAGCGGCCTGTTATTGTCCAGGGCCTTGTTGAGCCGCAGATGCCCCGTGTCCTCGTTGAGTAGGAGCAGACGGAGCTCGTTTCCAGATTCAAACGTGTACCGCAACTTATCCGACACGTCCGGGTCATGAGCCGGCACTCTCCCGATTATTCCAGATGGAAAACTGTTGGACTTGTTGGTGATGTAGTTGTTGAAGATGATGTCAAAGTCGCTCAGCACCGGCAGGTTGTCATTCATGTCCGTCAGGCGAATGTGGACGGTCGCCCGGCTGACGAGCGGCGCCGAGGTGGCCTGCACCACAATGACGTACTCCGTTTTGGTCTCATAATCGAGGTCGATGAGGGAAATGAGGTCGCCGTTGAAAATGTCCAACTCGAAGATCTCTGGAAAGTTCCCTTCAACTATTTGGTACATGATCTGAGCATTGGTGCCCTCGTCGGGGTCCATTGCCGTAATCCGGGCCACGACGGACCCGACGGGAATGTTTTCCTGCACGTCGATGAAAAGCTCATCCTTTTCGAACACCGGAGCGTTGTCGTTGATGTCCTGAACAACCACATGGATGGGAACTGCCGCTTTTAAAGGCGGCACTCCCCTGTCCACAGCAAAGGCCTTAAGGTCGTAAACAGGAACGTTCTCCCGGTCTAGTTTGCGAGAAGTTCTGATAATGCCAGAATACTGCTCAATGAAAAAATCCCCATCTCCGTCATCGCCACCCTGGAACGTATAGCTCAGTCTCCCATTCGAGCCGGAATCTCGATCGGAAGCAGAAATCTGGAGGACGCTGGTGTAGATGGGCGCGTCTTCAAACACGCTCCCCTGGTAGACGTCTCGAAGGAACTGAGGAGCATTGTCATTGGCGTCCAGGATGATGATCTCCACGTAGGTGGTGTCGGATTTCTGAGGGATTCCGTTGTCTTTGGCGATGATGGCCAAGGTGAAGGAAGCCTGGTCCTCGTAGTCAATCTCCATTTGGGTCGTGATGGCACCGGTATCTGGGTCTATTTTAAACTGAGGGACGCTGTCCTCCATAATGTAGGTGATGCGAGAATTTTCTCCCGTGTCTTCATCCGTGGCGCTAATCGTCACCACGGTGGATCCCACCGGTTGCTCCTCGCTGAGCATCACCTGGTAGTTGGCGCTTTGGAAGACGGGCCGATGCGTGTTGGCGTCCGTCACGTTGATAAACACCTGCGCAGAGTCCGATCGGGTTCCGTCGCTGGCCGTGACCGTCAACACGTACTGGCGCTCCTGTTTGTAGTCCAGGGGGAGGGCAAGAGTGACGAGCCCGCCGCCGCTCTGGCTCGTGATGGCGAAGCGGTTTCTGGTGTTGCCGCTGGAGATCTGGTAGGTCACCACACTGTTGACATCCCGATCGATGGCGGTCACCGTCAGCACGCTTGTCCCCACGACGGCGTCCTCGTTGATCTTCAGCGAGTAGACTTTCTCCGTGAAAGTGGGCACGTTGTCATTAACGTCGAGCACCGTGATGGTGACGCTGGCCGACGACGACATGACGGGAATGCCGTGATCCCTCGCTTCCACGCCGAAGCTGTAGAACTCGGTGGTCTCCCGGTCCAGTTCTTCACTGACTGTAATCCACCCGGTGCTGTTGTTGATGGCGAACGGAAAACCGGGAACGGTGTCGGTCAGCCGATATTCCAGCCGGGCGTTCTCCCCCGAATCGCCATCGACGGCTTGAATGTGAATGACGGAGTGGCCGACGGCAACGCTCTCCAAAACGGTTGCCTGGAAAGGTGTACTGACAAACATGGGAGCGTTGTCGTTCACGTCCACCACTTGCACCACCACCATCCCGGTGCCGTTAATCAGCGGGGGTCTGCCGCCATCCTGTGCCTTAATCCTCAGATTATACTCCCGAACCATTTCATAGTCCAGAGGGTTGATCACATCGATCACGCCGGTAGGGGAATGAATGTAGAACTGACCTTTGACATTGCCGCTGATGATGCTGTAATGAACTTTAGCATTGTTGCCCTCGTCTTTGTCCGTCGCCTCCACTTGAATGACTTTGGTGTTGATGGCCACGTTCTCTGGAACCTGCACGACGTACCTCTTCTCGCTGAATTGAGGGTAGTTGTCATTCTCGTCCTCGACAGTGATGTGGACGGTGGCGGTGGCCCGGCGGGGACCCGGCTCTTTGCCCTGGTCGTCGGCCTCCACTATCAGCTGGTACTGGGCCCTGGTCTCCCTGTCGGGACGCTCTCGGATTCTCACCAGGCCGTTCCGAGTGTCGATCTCAAAGACAGAGTTGACGCCGTCACCGTTGACAATTTTATAGATCATGTTCGCGTTAGCGGGGGCATCTTCATCGTTGGCCCGAATGGTCATGACTTCAAACCCCACTTCGACATTCTCCCGTATACTAACTCTGTATTCTGTCTGCTCAAACACGGGGCTGTGATCGTTGGTGTCGCTCACAGTGACAGTCAGGTAAGAGGTGGCGTATCTTCTCGGTGTGCCGTTATCGGTAACAGTCACTTTGAAGACATGAGTGTCTTTGACTTCTCTGTCCAATGCCTGAATGGTTGTGATGCCGCCCGTCTGAGAGTCGATTGTGAAATAGTCATTGGACCTGCTGTCAAACAAGGCTTCCATGGCGTACTCCAGCCTCCCTGCTTCGCCATCATCTGGGTCGCTGGCTTTGAGGCTGATGACTTGTGTCCCAGCTGGCTCATTTTCAGGCACGGACACTTGGTAGTTGAGGAGCTGGAACTGCGGCGACGCGTTCACTTGTCGCTTCCCTCTTCGCGGAGACTCACCAGTGTTTCCAGCAAGGGATTCCGATACGGATCCATCTCCAGGCACTTTTCCAAACCGCAACGTGAGCTGCAGGTTTAGCCGGCTGCCTTCAGAGGTGTGCAGGGGACATTCTAAATCCACTTCGGGCCGGGTTTTCACGTTATCAGAACACAAGTCATCAGCTAGAAACAAAGCTCCGTGTCTAAAGAGTGCAGCAAAATGTTGTCCTACGCACAGTGTGTCCAAAAAGTTTGCGCTCCTTGTTAAAGCGGGCAAAAGTTCTGCAACATTGAACAGCAAATCACTTGCGAGGAGGCAGGGAGTTTCCTCCAGATTTAAATTGCGCTTCATGTGGATGTCGGGCGTACTGTGAAACAACGTCTTTCTCTTGTATTTGATGAAGCAGTCCTGTCCGTGGACGAACACGTTCAAACGCGTTAAGATCTCATCACCAGAAGTCAACGAGGTGCTTCTGAAGTGCACGGGCGCGGGGTTCCGACGCGTGCGCGCACACTCCACAGTTCGGGACAGTTCAATAACTCCGCTCTGCTGCCCGACTCGGAAAAGACTCCGTGTGGGTTCGGGAGATAAATCCCTGTCAAGTTTGTGCGTCCAGCCCGGTCCGACGGACAGGTTCGCCAAGACGGTCCCGGGTAGCAAATACTCCGTGAGGTGAAGCTCCAAGCACGCCGCGGAGGGCGCGTTGAACAGGACGCAAACCCAAATCCACGCGCTCCACGGCACCATGCTTGGCAATGTAACAAATCCCAGTGAACTGCGGTCAAACTCATCCGAGGCAGCTCTCCCACTCCCGGAGTCGCGTTCGACTTTTAGCCTTCATGTTGAAAGTTTTTTAACGTGGAAAAAGTCCCAGCGTATCCATGGTGTCAGTGGGATCCACGGAGCGCACTCCGGGGCTGCGTCGTTTCAAATGAGAAATGAGCACAAAATGGCTCCGCTGCTTGCCTCCTCCACACCCTCCTCCTCCTTGAGGAGGTAATTAGCATAAACCTGCTGGGTTCCCTACCGGGATGCTTATAGAGGGGGTGGGGGGGGGGGTCCTCTTCTTCTCATGGAGATTTAGGAAGTGGCCCTGAACGGGTAACCAATGCGCACAAATGTATTTTCATGACAATAAGGTGAGGCCGCCTTTCAATTCCTAATGCACATTTAAAAGATCCTTGCTGCCTTTGTAACTTTCCAGAAACATCTAAACAAGTTATCCAAAGTGCACGGAGAAGAAAAGTTTACTCATTGAAAATAATTGCCAAGCAGTTGTGTTCTTTTACATTACTTACCGTGTGAATAAGCCAATTTATGTATCAAAGTATATATTTTTCAATTCATTTAGCTGATGTTGTCGTTCAGAAACTTGAATGTGCCATCCGGTGAAGCACAAAGTGAAATATGACCGAGACAACGCGTACTTACCATGTACAGTATTTGATTCCATCAGATTAAATATGAAATATGCACGAGAGCGCGCAACAATTGATTCAAACTTGGTTAACTCGTGTTACAGCGCCCCGTTGTGGACAAAGGCTGCACAACAACGCAAACACGCAACATTATTTTTTTTTAATAGTAGGCTGCATTACCTAACAAAAAGACAACGAAATCTGCAAAATATCAAATCTTCACTTTCCTAAACTAGTGGTTCATGTCACTTTTTTTTTCATTCCCGGAAAATACGAAAAACCGAACCAAATGATAATGGCAAGCTGACAGCTTTTGTCAAAAAATGACAAGCCAATATATTAGCAAGGTAATGAAATGATATTTAAATTTCTGAGTTTTGGGGTTTTCATATTCAGTTTCTTATGTACAGAAGATGGATAAATGAAGAGATATTATGGTTTAATGAATGCCACACTAAAAAAAAGCCTTAGTATCATGTAACTACGTAAGTTTGTTATAACAGTACATTTTTCACAGTACAACGTGCACGTATCACATTATTTCCATGCTTCTGCAGTTGGTGTCAATGAGGAATTTATCTCAAATCTGTTCTCTTCATTTTGGTGAATCTAATCTTGGCTCACGCCTCTTTCTATGACTACCTTTTATCTTCTCACGAGGAAATATATCAATAGCCATCATTATCATCAATTTCAACTCACAACCTGAAAGCATCCTGAAAGAATGTGATGAATTCGCATTCTAATGTGAAAAAGGTTTAGAACAATAAACTTGACATAATTACATGGTCCTGAGTTTTGTTTTTTTTGTTTAAGTGTGGCAGCAGTATGACAGCATGTAAACAGTATGTGTCATCCTACCTTTTTTCCCTGACAGGGACAAAACATGGTGGAAAGGCACAAATACTCATAGAACATTACTGCCTGGAGACAACAGGAGTAGCCAGAAAATATATTTTCAAATATCGTAAATGTATTAACCTAATGGGGTGGGGGGGGGGTAATTAGGTATCATACCACAGTGTTTGATAACTTGAGCAATTATTATTATTTTTTTTAAATCTCAAGGCCGTGTCATCTGACCGGTTCTGGCGTCTGCTCTTTATTGAGCTGAGTGGCGGCTGAACATTCCCGACTCCGCTGGATGGTGAAGTCACTGGGCCCCAGCTGGATGATCCTACCGCTTCCCAGGCACTCGTCGCCTTTGTAGAGCACTGCGAACTGAGAGAGGGCGTTTCGAAAGTACACGAAGAGAGTTGAAAAGTTCAATTGATTTTTTAAATTTTTTACCTGTCCAGGTGTCAAAGCTCTGAGCGACTGTGCCAGTGAGATCCACACAGAGCCGTCCATGTTGAGAGTCACTGTGCAGGGAGCTAGAAAGCATTCAAAACAGTAAGTTGAAGAAGGGTCTTGTCAAAGTATTAAATGCACACACTTAGTGGCATCTGGTGGATGAAGCGGAAGTGGCACTCCATCATCTTGGTCCGGGCCAGTTGGGTCGGCGGGTCCTCGGCGATCCAATGGAAGCGATCCGTCCGCAGGGTGTCACGAAAAAGAGATGGGTGATTGGTCGACGGCGCCTAACACCAAAGCCGTTTCAATGTGATTAGAAATTCGTCATTGCAGGCGTTCCTCATAGGTTGATGAAATTTCACGTTGGACGGCACTCAAAGAGTTAAGGTCGCTCAAAGCAGAAATCTTACCACCATCACATCGCCCGTATTGATATCCTTGTCCACCACAAACCAAGCATCCCTCTGTCCCCCGATCCGCGCCCTCTGGCCCAGCGTGAAAGTGAACCAGCCTTGACGGAGAGGTAAAAGGATGAGCCATTAAATTGGGGTTGCTGTGAATTCAAACTCCATGCCCACAGTTGGAAACATACCTTTATGTGTGCCCATGACAGTGCCATCCTCAATGGATACAAAGTTGCCAGGTTTTGGTTCAAGGTACTGGGGAGGGGGGACATTAAAAGGAAAATTAATTATCATCCCAGCCAAACTTCCTCACTCTTTGGCAGCCCTTATCAATTTCAACATCAACAAACTTACCTCCAGAATAAAGTTTTCAAAGTTCCTCTCACCAATGAAGCAGATGCCCATGCTCTGAAATAACAAGTTGGTTTTAAACACAAACATGGTTCACACGTAGATGCTCTGATTTTGAGTCACCTCTTTTTTCTTCAGTACATGGTGAAAGCCCGCTTCAGCCGCCATCTTTTTCACAAAATCCTTGGTGAGGCCAGCGAGAGGGAAAATGGTCTGCCGCAGGGCATCCTGGGAGATCTGGCTGAGGAAGAAGGTCTGGTCCTTGACGAGGTCGGCCCCCTTGTGCAATCTCACCGCTGGGTAAGTGGGAACAGAAATGCCAGTGAGACAGATGAGGAGAAATTTGGTGTAAAATTGCAGCGTGAAGACAACACGTACGGTTTCGAAACTCAAATCGATTTCTAAAGAGCACAAGGGGCGCAGTTTTGGGGGTCTGCTGGAAAACCTCTTCGTCTTCCTGGGAGGTCCTCGCGTAGTGGCCGGTTGCCAATGCATCAGCACCTGCATCCATGTCAAAAAGCAACAAGAAGATCAAAAAATTTGTTTGGACCGGTTTGTTTCTTTTTTAAAAATTTGATTTTGGAATCGACGAGTTAAAAATAATAACTGAATGGGGCTGAAGTAAATGTGGCCCTCGTGCCCAAAAAGGTACAGTAACTCACTCCCCTGTTGTAGACAACAACATACCTAGCGTTATAATTGCGTACTTGTGGAAATGGTTGAATTTGATATGCTTGTTGCAGAGTATATCTGGGTTGGGTGTCCTTCCTTTCTCGTATTCCTTTAACAGATTACTGAAAAGGCGCAGAGGACCACAATTAGTTGGGAGAGAAAAAAAGGAGCTTATTACAAGTATGAGGACATTTTTAAATACCTGAAAACCTCGTGCCAGTATTCCTTAACATATGACACTTGATGGAAGGGGATGTCGAGCATCTGGCACACTTTGTAGGCATCCTCACAGTCCTTCTCTGTGGCGCACACGCCATTCTCATCCAGGGAATCCCAGTTCTTCATGAAAACTCCGGTCACATTATAGCCTGAAATAAGCGACAGTCAATATTTAGTATCAAAATGATTCAAATGAAATTAGGATTACTAGGTTTGCGAACTTGGGTGTTGGGTGTCTCAATGGTAGTGGTGTACCTAATGAAGTGGCCTGTCATTGTACATGTCAATGAAACTTCGACCAACCTCTTCTCTTCAGCAACAAGGCCGCGACGGAGCTGTCGACGCCGCCCGACATGGCGCACACGACGTGCCGTATAACACCCATCTTAATCGCTAAATTCCCTTCACGGACCTATTAGAAAGTAAAAGAAATTATTTTAAGATTACATATTCGTTCGTAACATGATTGTAGTCCGTTACGGATGAACGGTCCGACTTCAAACGAGGGTGCGGAACTTTTCTTTCGGAGGGGGAATTAAATATTGTAACACCGCCACGGAGCTGCACATATGTGAGTCTTTACGCGTAAGGAGAGTTCAATTTGAAGAATTTTGACACACTTGCCGTTTTAATTTAGGTTTTAATGTTCACGATGATTTCTCAACAGTTTAAAAAAAAATTCCGTGTTAAATTGGCGACAGTGGCTTCAGTCATGATTTTTGAACGTTTTATAGCTAAGCAAATATGTTTTTCTATTGTTTTGAATAGATGGGTGAGGTGACTGCAGACAGTGTCACCCTGGATCTTCTACTGGAAGCCAGGAAGACAGTGCGGAGAAGCCCATTGGATGTCATCAACACCCCCATGATCCCCTGGAGCCAGACCACCCTGCCTGTCAACAAGGCCCATGGTATCCATATTAAACTGGAGAACATGCAGAGAACAGGCGAGAAAGTGCTTTTTATTTCGACGTTATAGACTTGAGTGGAAACCCCCTCGCCCAAAGAATATAATAAGATGACTATATTTCAACTGTCATTTTGAATTAATTACAGGGTCCTTTAAAATAAGAGGTGTGGCCAATCAGTTTGCCAGGAGGCCAAAGGGCGGCAATTTTGTCACCATGTCTGCAGGGAATTATGGGAAGGCGTTTGCATATGCGTCAAAACACTACGGGTCTAAAGGCAAAGTGGTGATGCCCGAAACTGCCCCCATGTCCAGATCCGTCCTCATACAGGTCAGAGGTCATGCACGCACATGCAAAAATCAGTACTTTACTCACTCTTGGGTTTTTTTTGTTTTGTTTGTTCTCTTTAGAGTTTTGGTGTGGATGTGGAGAGAGTTCCTACTCCCTGTCTGATGGATGTGGTGAAGCATTGTGTTCAGGATGACGACATGACTTTCCTGCACTCCTACGACGACCTGGATCTTATAGCAGGACATGCCAGGTACTCTCAAAATAAACCACATACAAGGGAATAAAGCTTAACTGTGTGTGAAGTTTGGGTCTGGAGGTCCTGGAGGTGGTGCCTGAACCGGATGTGGTGGTGGTATGCTGCGGAGGTGGCGGGCTTCTGGCGGGAGTGGCTGCTGCACTCAAGCTGTCAGGATGTGACAAGACCAGAATCTACGGTGTGGAACCAGAAGGAGGTAAGAAGTGTCGTCCAATTTTTAAAAATGAGCCATGTCACTGATGGAAATGCTTGACTTTTAGCCTGCACCATGTATAAGAGCTTCATAGAGAAGAAGCCAGTGGGCATGGACACGAGCAGCATCGCGTCAGGACTCGCGCCACCATTTGCAGGTCGTATCTTACCATATATGATACTATACCTGCTCAAAGTATCTTCATACCTACACTGAAACGATGCCATGCGGAAAAACCAAACCATTCGGATGATATTCATGAAAATTAAGACTTACGAGGCATAATTTTTCTTCACGTGGCCATCATCAGGCACGTTGCCCTACGAGCTGTGCCAGCGCTACGTGGAGGAAATCGTCCTGGTGAGCGACGACGCCATCAAGTCGGCCGTGTCGACCCTGTACCGAGCGGGACTGGTGGTGGAGCCGTCCGGTTCGGCCGCCTTTGCCGCCATCGCTGCCGGCAAGATACCCCGACTGGAGGGGAGAAATGTCGTCTGCATCCTCAGCGGGGGGAACATCGGCAAGGACGAGCTTGCACACTTCCCAGGCTGACAGATGTGAAATTCACTCCATAATAGAAGAAGAAAAATCACTGACATTTTTTTAAATTTATTATGTCTTTTTTTCAAGAACACTTTTTAGAACCAATAAAGCAACTTTAATCTGTCTCACTGGCGTTTTTGTTTGCATTGAGACAAGAAAGAAAGTGTATTCTGGACAAGAGGAAACCCATTAGCCAATTTTTGTTTGCATTGAGACAAGAAAAGTGTATTCTGGACAAGAGGAAACCCATTAGCCACATTTTAAGGACAATTGGAAAGACTGGAATGGAAAGACTGGGGACTGATTAGAGCTACATTACATCCTTAGTGGCCATTCTGCATACGACTGCATCCAAAAGAGTGCCACACTTTTCCTCCCGAGGACTGACCTTGTACAGCTGAAAGACAAGCGAAATGGAAATATGGGTTAGATCCATTGTAACAATTGTGTCCATTGTTGGTCAGCACCTTTTTAATCTTTTCAAGGTCTGATATGGACGACAAATCATCCACTGGAATCTGGACTCCGTCCACTTTGGTCAAAATGTCGCTCATGAGCTGGGATTCTTCTTTGTTGTGGACCAAGACCACCAGGACTGAATTGTCACCATCTGAGATCCCAAATCTTTTGAAGGCTTCTGAGATCTGTGTCAAGGAAGTATTTGATCAGGTCAAAAATGGCACCCCCACCCCCCACATATTTAGAAAGGCAAACTTAAATTACATTATTAGTCGGTGACAGGTTGAAGATGATCTCTGAAAATAAGCCTCTTGTCTTCATTTGACTCTGTTTCTGTAAGTGCAGCGCTTTATTTGTGGCCACCAACACTTGGAAAGGACTCACCAGCTAAAAAAAAAGAGGAATTTCAATTTTAAAGCTGAATGACACACAAATTTCCCAAAAATTCTCCAAACTACACTCACCATATTAGCCTTGATCAGGGCACCTTTTATTATCCCCTCTACAGCGTTTTGCCGTAGCTCGGCGGCATTTTGGACCTCTTTAAAAAGAATTTGCGTCACCGTGAGGTCGGGGAAAAGCTCCAACGTCTGAGATAAATGCATTTTTAAACCATTAATGGGCACATGACAGGAGAAAAAACGACGTCGCACATGTGAGAAAGCTGTGAGCGGGGGAACAAAAACACTGCAACACCAGAAGGACGAACTTCGGAAGAGCTACTATACAAATGTTTTTTGGCTCTTAATTTAGAAATTTATTTTATACACAAATCTAGGATTTTTATCGTGCTTGGTTATTTGTCTTTATTAAACTGACGGCGAGTGCACCAAACGTCGATGAATGAACTTGTACATGTTGCCACATCGGGCCTATTTTCATAGAGGACCTCTCGCTTTCAACAGTAACAGCGCTTCCGTTTTGCATCTGCAACCTAAACAATAGGCTACCCATCGATTGTTTTTACGTGCTTACCAATTGCGCATGTTTTAGTAATGCAGGTTGAACGACAGGTTAGCGGCTTTAACAGTTAATTTCCAGTGGAATTTGCGTTTTAAATCGCGTGCAGAAAATGGATAAATTTGAAGGCTACATCTTCACCGCGCTGTGCAGCACCAACTTTCTGGTGTCATGCCTGCTCTTCTCCAAAGTCACCCGTGAGCAACGAGAGCCCTACATGGACGAGATTTTCCATGTGCCCCAAGCTCAAAAATACTGCGAGGGGAAATTCAACCAGGTAAATAAATCCTCTTCAATGGCGTAGTAACTAGCGGATTAGCCGACGGCGCTAATCCGGAGACAATTAGACGGTCTGATTTTAGTCCCTTAATTCGATGCAAAAATATTCTAATTTTAATCATTATACCAAAGTGACCACTTGATGATATTGTCGTCATTGCATCATTTGAGTTCGCAGTCTCAGGCACGTTTAACCATAAAAACTCAACATTTGTACACTGTACTACTTTTCTAATGATGCAGTTGTTTTTTTGTATTCATAAATGACCTTGACATTCCTCTTCAGACTGCAAAACAAACAAAAAACAAATGCGAATGTAATTATCTATTATAATTGTATAACATACACCTACAGAATTATGGACTTATTTCTCATGTTACGTCTAAGTTACTAATCATAACCAGTGATAAAATCTCATTGACAAGTTCCCCATCTTAGCTTCCCTTGAAAATCTACATCCCAACTGTATATATATTTTTTTGCGCAGTGGGACCCGATGATCACCACCCTTCCGGGCCTCTACCTGGTCTCCGTGGGCATCATCAAGCCCGTGGTGCGATTGGCCAACATGAACGGCGAGGTGGTGTGTTCCACGGCCATGCTGCGCTTCATCAACCTCCTCTTCAACTGTGGCAACCTCTACCTGCTCTACCGGCTCATTTGCAGGCTGCACCCGAAAGAGAAGGTGAGCCTCAAGTCACATGACTTGGCCCACGTCAGACTGCTTGTTTAGGACTTTTGGAATCCTAACATTTGTCTGTTGTCTTCCAGACACGAACGGCCGCTCGGCGCATCCTCTCGGCGCTGTCGCTCTCCACCTTTCCCGTGCTCTACTTCTTCAACTTCCTCTACTACACGGACGCCGGCTCCACTTTCTTCATCCTCTTCACGTACCTCATGACGCTGCACAGCTGCCACAAGGCCTCAGCGCTGCTCGCCACCTGCGCCGTCCTCTTCCGCCAGACCAACATCGTGTGGGTGGCCTTCTGCGCTGGCACCCTCGTGGCCGGCCACATGGACGACGCTTGGAAGGCGGCGCATTCCAAAAAGTCGGACGACAGGTCAGCGGCGTTTCAGGTCCCATTTTCCCGAAGCGGCGCCAAACGAGTTGTGCTTTTTAGTGTGAACTTTTTCACTTCTGCTGGACACATAAAAGCGGTGCTGATGGTGGCGTGGCCCTACGCTTTGGTGGCCGCCGGCTTCCTGGCCTTCGTGTGGCTGAACGGCGGCGTGGTGGTGGGCGACCACGCCAACCACGAAGCCTGCCTCAACTTCCCGCAGCTCTTCTACTTCCTCTCCTTCTCCCTCTTCTTCTCGCTGCCCGTCTCGCTCTGTCACCACCGCGTGCGGCGCTTCTTGCAGGCCATGAAGAAGCAGCCCGTCCTCTTCCTCGTGGCCACAATCGCCTCCGTCCTCCTGGTGTGGAAGTTCACCGCCGTCCACAAATATTTGCTGGCGGACAACCGCCACTTCACCTTCTATGTGTGGAAGAGGTTCTTCCAAAGGCATGAGGTGCTGCGCTTCCTCCTGATCCCCGCGTACATTTTCGCCGGCTGGCACTTCCTGGACTCGCTCAAGTCGCGCTCGGTCTTCTGGAGTTTGGCGTTCCTGGCGTGTCTCGTGGCCGCCACCGTCCCGCAGAAGCTCCTGGAGTTCCGCTACTTCATCATCCCGTACCTGATGTACCGCTTGCACATGCCATTGCCGTCCCTGCCCAGACTGGCGCTGGAGTTTGCGCTGTACACGGCCGTCAACGCCGTCACCATTTACGTATTCGTCACCAAGACGTTCCAATGGCCGGACAGCGCCGCTACACAGAGGTTCATGTGGTGAACTCTAGGGAGTTACCAGGAGATTGTGAGGAAGGTCAAAAGGTAATTCTGTAATCTTGAATGCCGTACTGCATTGTATGTAAGGAGGACATTCTGTAATTTATTCCGGGTGGCTTTTTTGCGATTACGGAGACTAAATGGATTTTTTTTTTCTACAAAATTTGTAAAGTCAGACTTTTTTTTTCATCCTAATGTGTTGATTTTTGAATTTGTTTCCCAGTATGTCAATAAATTTTGTGCAAATTCAGTGTTAAAGGTTTTTGATCTTCAAACTCTTTCTACCGACAATTTTTTCTGTCCAACTACTGTAAATGCTTCCTTATGATTGTTGTCATGAATAAATAAAAACGAATAAAATACATTTTACAACTGTTTCTTTACTAAGCTCTTATGTTTGATTACATTTCATCTATAGTAGTATTTCATAAATGAAACACTATGCAACGCTTCTGGTAAATGAGTACCACAATGAGCCACAAGGCGGTGCTGTTGTGCAAGGATCGGTAAGTGAACAAGTACGGTCAATGCAAAATGTGTTGACTTTCCTTTGTTGTGGTAATAATTTTTTATGTCATATGTAAAGCGATCTATTGCAGCTGGTGTGAAATGCCCTATACAAATAAAATTATATGATATATTCGTCATTGATAGTGTAGTAGTACACTTGCCTGACTTGCGTGCGGGATCCCGCTTAGCGACGGTGTGGATGGTCGTCCGAACATCAGCTGGGATCGGCTCCAGCACCCCCATGCGACCCTGGGCAGGATAAGCATGACACGTACAGTACAAGTAGGAACATTGCTTCCTTTAACACATTCACTAATAAAGCACGCAGGGAACTATTTAAGGACATTCTATAGTAGCTCATGTAGGTCCCCGAACACACCACTTACGTGTCATCTTCCAGCCGTGATAAGAAAACAATTGCAGCATACAAGAAACTGTTCTATTTATGAAAGAAGCGTGGGAGTACAGCGGGTGGAGAAGCTAAATGTTTTTTTTTCCCCTTAATGGCACAGTAATTATAAAATCTGCCTATAGCCATTTCAGTCACACCGCCTGTCAGGAAAAAAAAAACTTGGAAAAGGGTGTGGAATAATACCAACAAAAAAAAAAACCCTACAGTCGTGATTCTTAAAATTAAAAATCTAGCAGGGTTTTCCTTTGTCTTATTTTTGTTCAAATTCCTGGGCATATATTCAAACGAACTCCCAACTTTAGCAGCATCTTGGCGGCGCGTTGCTAGGCGACAGGCCATGTCAGGAAGTGACAAAGCGCACATAATTGCGCCCCTGCTTGACAGACAAGAGTGCAGTGTTCATTAGACTCAGTCAAGACATCACATCTTAAAATACATTTTAAAAAAAGTCGTGACATGACCTTTTGTCTACACTAATCACCATATAATCATTCCAGTCAAGAGTTTAAACAATTAAGGAGCCATGGCATCAGTCTTTGGACAGTAATGTGTTCATTTTAAGAAATCTCTCGCTTCTTTTCGTTTGCACTTAATGAGCAGTCCTATTCCTCCGTGGTCTTTGTGCTTGTCGAGCCTGAAAAAACACATTCCACCCCCCCCTTTTTTTTTGCGTCAGATGTTTGATTGACAGCGATATTAGCACCTTTCGCTGCGCTACGTGTCCCCCCCCCCCTTCTTCCCCCCCGGGCTCCTCCATCAATCCAGCCATCTCCTCCCCTGGCCTCAAGGGATGCTGGGAAAATGGAGCTATTTATGGCAACCTGAGGCACTCGAGTTTGGTGTAAATACACGTTTGTGTGTTACACACATTTTTTTGATGAGTATGTCACGATCGTGCATGGCGCAATGTTGGCTCCAATGTGATACCAGCGTAATGATAACGCACCGTGAGACCGAGTGTCACTATTGCGCTAAACTAGCAGTGGTTCCAAAGTAATGAGGATAGGACCCGAGTTGCTGATGATGTAGTGGTACACCCGTCGGACGTGTGCGCGGGCGGGCTTGGGATCGGTTCCCATGGAGTGACGGTGAGAATATGGGTGCGAATGGTCGTTTGTCCTGCGAAGGACCGGCGACCAGTTCAGGGTGTAGTCTGCCTTCCGCCCGAGGTCAGCTGGGATAAGCTCCAGCGACCCCCGTGTGGATAAGCGGATAAGAAAATAGATGGGATATGACCCAACACGGAAGGTTAAGATTTTGGTCTCTAGCATGCGTGGATTTCAATTTAAGTAGCGCGCGCGATTACTTTTGCCACCTTAGTACAAGTGTTGCTTCTTCTTTGGACGCCGTAGGCAACTAGCGCCACCTGCATGCCATCTGGTGCTTCTCCAACAACTCTAGTGTTACCTAAATATAAAAAAAAAAAAAAACATGTTAGCAGTGTATTAAATGTAACAGGAACATAACTGCTGAAATCACCTATTTAAGTTTGCAATTTTGTGCTACGGTAAGCTAATCAGTATCTCACTCATCTCAGAACTACCCGCTGAGTTATTGTGAGCCCAATCCACCTCCGACGGAGAAACGCAGAGTATTTTGGTACTTTTGGTCTCACGGGGGGGCAGGGGGTGCGTTTGCCTTCCCTCTAATTTGAGTCTTGAAGCAGGCGTCGACCTCAGTCACAGTTTTTCATATGAATATTTATTTAAAAATCCATAGTTCAATACAGAAATAGTCATCTATCATATGTAATAAGACAATCAGTGTTCAGCCATGCTTTCTCTGATTATGAATCACTGTTAATGAAAAAAATAAAAATAATAATCATAATAAAAGACATCCACCCCTCCAATAATAAAAAAATAAGTCCAAAGAAATCACATCAGAACGCAATAGTCCACGGACACAAAATCATTTCTCCAGAGAAGGCATCGCACAATTTCCAGAAAAAAAAAAGTCAGTTAAGGCCATGTTTGTACAATTACTTTTCATATCATATACTTCCAAAGACACCGTTGTAGTGAACCCGAAGGAACGGGCGCATCCTTTGTAAAATCGTACATGCAAACATAGTGCACATTTGTTTCAAAGATACGACGAGCACACGATCGTGTATTTGGATAGCTTTTCAGTAAACAAAGGTCTTTTTGTGTGTTGACGCCTCACGTCGTCTCGTCAAACACCGGTCGAAAGGCAACACACACCCGCACACAAACACAGAAGTTGCGCTCGTATGGATTCATAAATGACACGAACAGGCTTTGCCATTTATGTTCATTTGTTTTGAAAAAGGACTGCGTGAATTTGTTTCGCATTTCTGGAACCGCGCTGTGGATTTGTGTCAACTTTTTCTCTTGATATACTACTACATTCATGTCAAAAGTACGCCAACGATGGCGGGTTGCGGAAGGATGAGCGGTTTTGTATAAGAACAACAGAAAAGCTTTTGAATTGGATTTCGTAGCTCATTTTTGGCAATTTCCGTTCATCCGTTTCCTGCTTCCGATTCGCTTTGGCGAGTGCTGTTCTAATCAAAACAAACCAAAAAAAATAAAAATACAGATAACAAACGCACCCCCCCTTCCTCTTCGCCCTGACCACAGTCTGCTTGTACCGGACCGAGTGCGGCGTCGACATACGGGCATGCAGGTAAAAATCACTCTGTGGCCTTCCCACCCAGTGACAGTAAAAATAAAGTCCACTCTGAACCCCCGTGGCAGCGGATCAAAAACAAGAGCTTTGCCGAGCGCTGTTAATGAGCTCCCTTATTCTGACCTGCCGTCCTAATGATGTGTCCAGCTATACCTGCAACGCAGTCGGGGGACCAAATCCACGCGCGCAATATCCACACGGACACGCACACACGGAGGCCTCGACTGTGCGTCAGCCACGTTTGACACTGCTACAGGAGAAGAAAGCGTGTCAAAATTTGGCGAAGGTTCACCACCGTTTGCTACCACTTCATCATCGATATAAAACAATAAGGAGCAATGTGTGATGCTTCGCGAGATATGTCGTCTTGGTCGCACGCGCACGCACACGTCTATATCATTTTAAATGGAAATACATGAGGTACTTCAGATTGCCAACGGGATAACAATAACGTCATACAATGACGGATTCCTTCGCAGAAATGGAGAATGCCACCTAAAAATGTTGCATTCTTTGTCAGTTTAAATACGTTTTTTGTTTGGTTTTTGGTCACATCATGACAATCGATATTTCACATAGTTCATACGCTGCTCAATCGCTTCACATTCAAGGGAAAAGAAAAAAAAAGTTTTCTTTGTGGGAGGGACAATAGACAAAATGTGTATTTTCTTTGCGTTTTTGACCACTGGGCTCTTTGTGCTCAAACAATGTTTGTTGGAGAGCAGCTGCTGTCTTTGTTGAACATTTGAAGTGATGTTCAGACGACACAACAACAACACACACACACACACACACACACACACACACACACACACACACACACACACACACACACACACAAAAAACACACACACACACGCACACACGTATGTACGTACAAACCCCCGAGCATGTGGGCATCACTGCCAAGGCCGAGAAGAGACAGAGAGCAACTGTGTTTCCATTCATTAAGAAAATAATGGATACAAATAAAAGCAAAAATTCCACACAAAGATTTAAAAAAACAATTTTTCCATTGGTTAACAAGCCGCAACGAGTTACTTTTGAAAGGCAGAAAAACACAGAAAAAAAACGTAGCGAGAAGATACAGACTATGTTCTTGTTTTTGTAAATATTGTCTTTTTTCTCAGAAAAAAACACTTTATTCTCATGACAATTTGGATTAAGAATCTGAATTTGTAATTGCACCATTACAACTTCTTTTTTTTTTTTTTTTTTACTTGGAAATAGGCAACTTTGTAAAATTCTTATGGCATTTACGGGGTAGACCCGGTCATACATTTTACTTAATTATTAGTACATATTCCTCATAACAAATCCAATACGTCAACTGTGGCCTTAACTAAAGAGGTATCGTCGTCTTGAACTCATTCCCTGCCATTGACGGTCACAGACGTCAAAGATTCATTTTTACTGGGCTGGCAGTGAATGGGCTTTAAAAAGGCAAACTAAACACGACGGTACGTGTCACAAATGGACAGAAACGCAACGGAGAGCGGGGACACTTTCCAAGGAAGACCGACGCAGACAGAGAGGCGACGGGGACACCTCTGCATCGCAGCACGCACACGTTCGCTCACACTCAACCCACCTCGAGACAGACGCATGGTTGGAAGAGGTAGTGCAGGGCCGCTATATGCATGCACGTGGTCCGGGCTACACTCATGCAAAAGGGTTCATAAACACCAGGGGTACAGTAGAGTACAGTACAGCACGGTACGGTACGGTACAGAAGGGCTACCAGGACCTGCACTGCTGCTACCTGACGCACATGTCAAGAAAGAGAGAGAGAGAGAGAGAGTATCACAAGCTTGATATTGAAAAATATAAAAGTATGAACAGTAAAAATTCTTACTGTAAACAGTGGGTTAGTTTGCCGGCCAAAAGAGACAAAGAGGTTAGTTATTTACAGCTGAAATTAGTGTGCAGTTTTTTTTGTATCTGGGGACATTCCTTTTTTTTTTTTCTTTTAAATTCAAAAGAAACCTGCTGCTGCTTCTTTGCTTGTCAACATCCAGCTTTTTTTTCCCCCAGGATAAAAGATTCCAGGCAGTGATTGGAATGCTCGACAGTGGAAGTAAACAGATTGGGTTTCTTCAGCCCAGTCCGCTCTCCTGGCTCTGCATGCAGCTGTTCCAGAACACGAAGAACGAGCACAGGGATCCACGTCACACGAGCATGGAGAGCGGCTTCAAAAATGGACTCTGGAAAATTCAAAAAAAAAAAAAGAAAAAAAGCTTTGTCTTCATATTTGTGTTTGGAGGGGCTGTCCCGGAGGCGTGTAGGGAGGCGGGGCGGGCGCCGGCTTGATCCCGCGGGTCCTCATGTAGGAGAGGAACTGGTCGGGAATCTCGGCCAAGACGTCTTTGGCGAGGCGGGCCATGCTCAGGATGTGATTCCCCGTCCGGTCGATGTAGTCTCGGAATGGGACAAACTGGGAAGGAGAAGAAATGTGGTGAAACATCTTGAAGATCCTAAAAGCAGATGATATACAAGTCAATGAACGGACTTGGTAACCGAAGGAATTTCAAGGTCCTCTTCCCATGTATTTGATGTTATTTTTTTTCATCTTGAATAGGTCAATTCGTTTCATAGAAATTTTCTGGATCAAGCACACCAGTGGTATCGGTTACATGGTATCGGTAGTAGTGAATTTTTTCTTTTGTCATTCTTGAGGATTCGGACTACATACCTGGACAATGTCTCTCTCTGCATATCTCCCTCGGGATGAAATTCGGACCTCGTCGCCATCTAATTCAATCATGGCTGATGACGAGAAAGTGAAGGGAAAAAAAGAACAATTAAATTCTCACGGCCTTGTCAATCAACCATTTCAAATGCTTTTCATACCGTCAAATTCGGCAGGTCCAACCCCCACGATGATGATGGACATGGGCAGGCAGGAAGCCTGGTCGACACGTGGAGAGAAAAACAAGTCTAAATTCCAAAAGTACGTGTGAGCCGGAGACGTGTGAACGCGTGCGTTGGGACATCTTAGGGTATGACGTTACTAATAATGCACCCTGAGCTCAGCAGACAGCCACCAAATGGCCAGCGAAGTGTGCGGAGCGACACGTTGACCTCAGGCTACGGCGCGGTAGATGATCTTATTTTTTGATGCTCCTGCGTAAAGGTCACACATCAGGCTAGCCGCCCTCCGCGCTCGGCCATGCTTTCTCCTCGGAGATGGGCTTATTTATTTATTTATTTATTTATTTTAAAGAAAATATTATATCCCCTCCCCCTCAACCACTATATTCGACAAACACGCTAGGTTCCCTCCGGAATTTACAACTTGACAGTGATGGAGGTGATTGGACGGAGGGCGAATAACAGGCGGTCAAAATGCAGGAGCAGGCGCTGCAAACATAACAAAATATCAGTCAAACCCTCTCTTGTTGCATCATTAATGTGTTTGCGAGGCGAAGAACAGCGCTTCAAGGGTGACTAATATGATTCATATGGAAAAGCAACCGTATATGAAATGTAAATATATTCATGGTCGTCATCGCCGGAGAGCCCAAGTCGAAAAATACAGACACCGACACCCCACCCGTGCGATGGCGAGAAGACCGCGGTGTGCGAACGCCGCTCATTTACATCGACGTTGAGCAATCATTTCAGACTTTGCGCAATCTCCATGCAAGCGGCGTTTTTGTGGAGAAAAAAATAAATTCTTCCCAGGGTCCAGCTCTTGCTATAGTATAAGTAAGACAGGTTCTTACATTAATGATAGACTCCTTGGTCTGGGCCATGTCTGAGATGACGCCGTCCGTGATGATGAGAAGAACAAAGTACTGCGACCCATCCTTCACGGATGCCGCATACCTGTGGCAAAAGAAAAACACAGAACAGTGAACGCAGAACAAAAATGTCGGCCTTTTTATTTCCATCCTAGAAATAGGAATGAGACATTCATATGCTCTTAGATTTCATTTTACCTCCCCGCTGTCATGTAATTCCTAGCTCGTCTCGTTCTACTGCAACTACCTCCGAGTCGATTCCACAGCTCAATAAGGCTTTTCGCTTACTTTCGTGTTAATACGACCTTTTGACTCAAGGCGGTTGTTTGCACACGCAGTGATGATTTAAGCCACCTCTGAAGCACTTCAGATTATGCCCCATTATGGTTTGTTCACATTACTCTCATTTCAATAGGGAACAATTATTTGAACATCACCTAATGTTGTTTGTGAGGTATTGTTTATTGTGCCTTCTCCCAGCTAGTGGAAGCGCATTTAATTATTCCGTCTGTCATTATAAATTGTTTCCATAGATAAATGAAGACATCGATACATTTTGCAAGAAATAAATCATCATCTTGGAACTAACTAAGCCTAACTGAATTAGTGCCCACAACAGTGACGTGAGAAGCTATTGGGTGCAATTAATGTGCGGATGTAATTAACATTTACTGCGAGTGCATTACATTTTCATAACTTCAGACTGCAAAATAAACAGAACACTAATGATTTGCTTTTCTCATCAAGGTTCCCTGAAGCAAAAACGATGCTCTCAAACACAAAATGTGCCATCAAAAAGGTTCCCTCTATGTGTGTGAGGGTTTTTTTTTTTCTCCATTTCACACTTACCTACCCGGAAATATTTCCTGCAAAGAGCTTATTACAGACCACCTGACAGCGCATTATGAGGGAAAAGTACTCAGCGTGCCTTTTACCTTGATGTGAAGTCTACAAGGGCACTTGAGTGCTGTACCTGGCTACATGGTTCACCACAGGGGAAAAGTTGGTGGGTCCGTACAGTTGCACTGACTTCAGGCTCTGGTAGTAGGCTTCCATCACGCCATCTATTCCCGCACAATACGGGTTCTGCGGGTTCCCGTTCTACATAGTAGAGAGTAGACATTAAAAAAAATGTTAAATGGGGTTTTGATTTTTTTTTCCCTCATGACATGGTACTTCTAATTGCTCTCACCAAAGCAAACTCGTGGGAGATCCGCCCATCAGGCGGCAGCTTGGCACCAAAACCGAGCGCGGGGAACATCTTGTCGCTGTCGTAGTCCTGAATGATCTCGCCGACCGCCTTAAGGGCCATGGCGTAGGCGTTGAGCTGGTAGGGGCTCATGTAGTGGAGTGAGGTGGGCTGGGCGGGGTTACCTGGGGATGAGAAACGAGATTTGTCATTGTCACAAACATTTTTATCAGAATCATTAAACTCGTCAATTCTCAAATATTATAATATGAACAATTTTAAGTCAAATAATTTTTGATTTATGCAATATTTGAATTTCTTGAGATGGTGAATTTGGGTTTTTCATTTGCTGTAAGATATGATGATCAGGAGTCTGCAAAATGCAAAAAATATTTCTCTCCGTGTGGAGTGAACCCATTTGAGTTTTTTTTTTTTTTTTAATTCAACACTCGACGGCACACGGGGTCACGCACGCTTGTCAACAATCGATCGAGTGCTCCCCGCAGCACAGTCCTCATGCGGGTCCTCCAAATGCGTGTTTACCAAAAGACTCACCGTTGGAAGCTGTGAAGTCAATGGCCACGGTGAAGTTAATCTGCGTCCTTGGAAGAGAAAAAAAGGCAGGGATAGGATTCATTAATCAGCAACAGTCTCAATCCCCCCTTTCCTCATTCCTGCAAACAAAACCCTCGATCTGCCCATGCCATTACGCCGAGAACACAAAACAGGGATCCTTCCTGCAGATTTGGCCGTTAATAGCAAACCTGGGACCCAACGGCTTGGAAATGAATGCCCATATTGTCTGAACTTGTTAACCTGCAGCGAGTGGATGTGGTCAGCCTGTCAGCGCTTTTTCACACCGAGCCTCAACCCCCGCCCCGGTTCTCTGTTCACTGCCACTCCAACACGCCGCGCGTGTCATGTCGCGGTTGGAAGCAGCCGGCAGCATCATCCTATTTGTCACCTCAGTGGGCCAGAAGAAGCGGAGGCTCTACAAGCCATCCATCGTCGTGACGGGACACTCATTGGTCCGGAGGGGGAAGTCAGAGATGGACGGCGATAGGGAGGAAATCGAGTCAGGGGAAAACTCTTCTCTTAGGTGACCATTTCAGTGGCTGGCAGTACATTTGGTACTTAAGCCTTCACTGGGGATTTACAGACTTAATCTCTTCAACCCAACGTACGTACGACACAAAAATTCAATTCTGACACATATATCATGTGGAGCGGTTCAGAATCATGAAAAACTAAATATATCTATAAAAAAAAAGATATATTCTTTAAAACAGTTGAGGGGGAAAAATGGGAATTTTGATTTGCAGTCGATGGAAAAGGAGTCCCCCCCAAAAAAAAAGTTTTTTAAACTTTTTTTAATGTAGTTATATTTTGAAAAGTAGGAGAAAAAAAATGATTCTGGCAGTCCTTTTTTTAAACAAATGTCCGTCATAATTAGACACAACTTTTCACTCCAGGAAAAGAAAAAAGGCTTTGCATGCTATGAACACCTGCGGCGCCGCTGGAGGGGCAGGCCCGATAGCGGTTGCTAGGCAACAGCAGTCTGCAAAAGTGGACGGTTTCATCCGTCTTAACCCCACTTCTAATAAGGAGCATTTGCCTCAGCCGTAAAACAATGTTGTCTTTAATTACGGCTTGGTTTGTCACATTAAGACGTCCGCAAGTGTTGATTTGTCGAAACGAGGACGGCTTTCCAAAGGGAGTCCGCTTTCCTCCTACATTGGAGCGCCTGCGTCGGCATGAATACGCAAAGTGGCCTAAAAAAAAAAAAAAAAAAAACGGCATCTCAGGTGGCGTCCTGATGAGATGCCAACAGATGCTGCTGCTTGGAACGCGTCCAAGTCGCCGAAGGAGGATGAAGACGTCGTCTATGCATTAAGAAGTTTGACAGCAGCGGCAGGGAAAATCTAATTGGACCTGACATCTTGCATCTGAGTTGCTTTTCAAATTTCAATCCCTCCCGCCACCCCTCCTCTAACCCCCCAACACACGCACACACAATTCTTTGTTCCGCCGCTGGATGTCTGCTCCTCTTCCAAATGACATCTCACAATGTGTTCAATACGGGGCACGGTTTCCTCCAGCTTCTATTCTGGTTTCAATACTCAATTCCGCAGGCAAAATAAGGGGAGACAATATCTGTCAGCATGAGTGACAGAGCAGCCATCAAAGGCACGACTCCAAATGAAAGATAGGGCCAACAACTGTTCATTTTCATCCGAGGCCTCGTGAATAGAGGCTTCTTTGTGCGGAGCCATGGGTGGTTGTAACGCTTTAGCGGGCGCGGTGAAAAGAATGAGCGCAGCGGCGATGCTCCAGATTGAGATGGAGCCTTCCCCAAATCAGGCGTTTATGCTAATGCAGCCAGCCGATCATGCTCCTAATGAGGTCCAAATGAGCAATTAGTTGATTGGGTTGAAGCACTGGAAAGAGCTGCCAATCAAAAGGAGAAGAGAGCAGTGAGAGGTTGGAGGGGTTAGATGAGCCAAGGCAGCACTAAAAGGAGACAGAAGGGAATTTTAAAATAAGACGGCTCACTGGGGATTTCAGAGCATGGCTTGAGTGATTTCACAGTATTTGTGTATGCAAGCGTGGGCATGTTTGTGTGAACGAGTCTGCCCATTCTGCCACTCGGACCATTGCGATCCATTTGGGTCTCAAACAGCGATAGACCACTTGGCACTTGATTTCGACCGCAGGAAGCGCGGATTTGCGAAGACCGACTGGGGCTTACAAGCAAATGACCTGCGCAGAGACGGACGGCATTTCTCTCTCTTTAGAGGACACGCGGCAAAAAGTGCGCACGTGCAGTGCAGGGCGGGGCTGCGAGCACGCAAGATGAACAGCGACTTGCTCAGTGACATTCACTCTGCGCATCCCCCGCCACGTGATTCAATGCCTTATTGATTTCTTTTGAGAAGCTCAATTGTGGGAAATCAACAATAAAGTCTGTGACAAGCTACACGAGGTAGACAAAAGGGACACATTGTTGCCTACGGGATTGCCCAACCTTTACTGAGTCAACTTTTTTTTTTTTTTTTCTTGAAAGGGTGTTTTCAGGTTTCAAACCAAAGGACACATGGGAGAAGACATTGAAATTTCGCCTTTCCTCCCTTGACATTCTCCTCGCTCCTCACGAGAGCAGCCCCTCAACGCTCGGCCGCGCACGTGCGGCAAGTCACGTGAGCCAGCGTGGAAACACAAATGCAAGACTGCACCGCAAGGGAAACGGCGGAGTCTGCTCGACTTTGGCTGGGTCATTTGGTCTTGTCCTACTCACAAGAATAATAAAATATTCATCTGAGGGGGAAATTATATTTGGCGGACTGCAGATGGCATGGCGGGGTTTTGGACGGGACACTACGGTGGCTGACAGAGCTCATTCTTTTAGCGGTCGAGGAACAGGTTGACAATAAAACTTTTTTGGTATTTAGATTTTGTATGATATCATCTGTGTTCACCCCCCCGCCCTCACCCCAAAACCGCAATCGATATGAAAAGCCTGGATGTAGAAAATTGAAATGTCGAGTATCGTCCAAGACTGAAGTATCATCCTGAGTGCAATGTGAATGTGAAATGGACAAAAAATGTACAATATGTGCAATTTAATGTCAATGTTTATTGTCATTGCAAAAATAAATATGCCGTCGTGTCACTGTCTCCTTCCTGTATTTGGTCGCGGCTACATGGCACGCAAGGAAAGCACCATTGTCGTGTTTTAGCTTTTGAGGACGGACTTGGGACTTTTCTCACGCCTTCCTGCTCAAATCTTCAAAGGCACTTGCACGTCGAAGCCCTTCCGCGGTTTTGCCACGAGGATGTTTAAAGTGGGTCGGGAGTTGCTGGAGACTGTTCATCCTGGCAATTGCTCCTGTTACAGAAAAGCAGGCACACCGACTTAGCTTCCATGCAAACTCTCGTTTCATCGTCATTTACAACCATCACCGGGGAAGGATTAAGCGACACCAAATGGGTGAAAAAGAAGAAATATCCGAGTAGCGCCTTCATGAACAACATTAATATAATAAAAAAAAAAAAAAAGACATATCAACTTTACTAATTATTGTGAGCTAATGCTAACACTCTAAAGGTCGCCCTCTAGTTGCATGCAGATATTTGCGAATATCACTTACCCTACTGCTCAAAACTGGGCCGTCTTCAAACTTTCAAGCCGTCCGTTGTCAATAAATCCACTTGGATCATAATCACCGCTGCGGCAACTTCTGTGTGCCTACTTGAACTTTATCCTTCGGGCTATTTGCTACGGATTTGATTTTTTTTTCCTCACACCGCTTTTTTGCAATGGCGCTCTCACTTGTGGAGCTCTGTTGGCCACCGTAAGACAGGGTTAAGGACGCCCAGTGTGAGATCACTCATTAAAGGGATACCACCCCAACCATTTCATAGCCAGCATGTCTGAGGGGGGTAAGAAAAAAAAAGTCATCTTTCACCTACCCTCCCTTAATGTAGTCCAGGAAGGTGACATCGATGTCCACGAGGAATGACAACAGCGTTACCTTGGAGAGAAAAGGGGAAAGGGTGGATGGATCCAAGTCAGTGACAAAGTGATGACATATTTAGGGGTTGTGGGGGTTGTTTTTTTTCTTGCTGCTTACCGTTCCAGAGTTGAGGTATTTTTTCTTTTTATCTTTCTTCTTTTGATTTACCACCTGAAAAAACAAAAAAAATCATTTGTGAGAATTTCGGCATTGAGTTCTTCATTCTTTGACAGAGACTGCAACTTTTGTCATCAGTTGCAATAAATCTTCCAAGCTGTAACGCACCTGCACAACTGACCTGCGTAAAATCTACATTCAACACGAGTGTCAAGCAGAAAAAAAAAAAAAAAAACAAGCTTCGTTTCCAATAACCAAGGTTGTTCTGTCTGATAAATATGATGGCGAGGTTGATGCGAGGAGAGATGGCCTTGGGGGAAAAAAAAAAGTTGAGGATTTATGTGTTCAAATTGAGTCTGAAGGTGAGGAGGAAAATGTGGCTTGAACACACAAACAGAGGCAGCGAGTGCAAACTGCACATTCCAAGATGGAAAAAGCCGAGATCAAAATATAACAACAATAATGAAAAACTTTTTTTTTTTTTAAAGAGTTGTTTTTCAAATTGAAGCCTTTTCAATTTGAAAATTGCATTCGAATACGCCAACTGTCGAAACTTCATGAATCGTGACTGGCTATGCGCTCACCTCGTAGACGTTGAATTGGCTCTGCCCTCTGGATAATTCTCTGTAGCTGGTGCTGAACTCTCCAATAAAATCATGACTGCAGAGGGGAGGGAAAAAAAACCCAACGAGAATGAGATACCATGTCTGGCAACGTACTCGAACAAAACACATCTTACATTTAGAAGTGAGAAATCATGCACTGTTCAGATGAACCGGTTTTTAAAAGAAAGTCCTTTCTCTTCTTCTTTTTCATAAAGCTTTGGGCTGACTCCAACACGGTTGATGAAGCACAAACAGTTCTATTGAAACTTCTAAAATGTCACTGCTCTCCCGAAAAAAAAAAAAAAAAAAGATAAACGCTGGTGGTGCTGAATAGAGAGGAGTTTAAATCATAAAAGGAACAACTCCTCGTTAATATGCAGCAATGTCAGTCAGCCAGACTCATCACGAGGCTTTCAATTTGGGAACAACCCAGCGGAGAGAAAGCTTTCGAGCGCTTTTTAACATAACCTACTTGGCGACTTTGTCTTTTTCATGACATCTCTCACAATTATTTTTTTTTCAGGGACTACAATAATGCAGACTAGGGCCCAACTGGTTAAATATTTGTGCGGCCACGGCTCACCATGGGCAAGAATTCTCCAATAAGTCTCGGATGCCGACACCTCGCCAAAATGTAATCACCTGTCCCAACCCCTGGAGGCTTATCTGTGATTAAATGTTCATTTGACTCCGTGATGAACTTTTAAGTAATCTTCCGAGAGGCAAACACACATATTACCTCGGCGATGCAAGATTTACCTGCCGTCTCTGTCCCAGTCGTACACCTCAACCTTGATTGTTCTGTTACAAAAAAAAAAAGAATAGAATGAGGGTTTGTTTTTTTTCTTCTTCTCAAAAGAGACTTTTATGTTTATCCTGACGAAATTCGTTTCTGCTGCGCTCGAGGCGCAGCGGGCGCTTTGTTGCAAAAAAAGGCAGCGTCATTAAAGCCCGCCGAAAGACAAAGCTGTATTTGTCTGCCGCGTGGCAGCCCTCATTAAAATGGGAAAGATGTATGATCGTGGATCGCGTGACTCAATTTGATAGGAAAAATGCTAATTTCTTTTGGTTGGCGTCACCGCAGATCCCTTCGGCGGCTTATCTCTATCTCCAAACAGCTGCACCTGCCTCCCGTCATACGCTCTTCCTCAGACCAAAATTCATTGGCTTTCCGTGTGTCGCCGCGGCTTCCGAGGATATACCGTACGTCGGATGAATCGTCTGCCCGAGGCAGATATCCCGCATTATCGTGGTTATCTCCCAATATTTCAAATAGAAGTGTCGTCTCCTGCGAGGCGGGGAAAGAGAAACAAACAAGGATGAAGAGAAAGCATTGGCGTGGGAGTGAGGATCTTTATTAAGGGGAGAATGGGGGTGCATCTAATGAGGCCCGACTTTTGTTTTTACTGTAACCGCGCTGCCACGCGGCTTCCTCGATACAAATTGCATCTAATTGAAAACACCCAGAGCCGAAGCGCGCTTCTCCCATCCCTCTCATCTTTCAATAAAAGGCAAGGAGTCGAAACCCGAAGCGGCGCTAATGGCCCTCGGAGCTCGGCGTAGGCGGCCGGATGAGCATCATTACAGGGAAGGCGGTAATAAAGTTAAGGAGCAGGCTCCTCATAAGCCGGCGCACGCGCCGACACTCGGCTCTCGAGATGGATGAGTGGTGGGTGAGGTCAACACCAGCAGCACCATGGATACCAATGGACCAAGTCTCATTACTGGCAACTTTTTAACAGGACAAATGAGGTGGGCGCTTATTCCCAAATGAATATCTCTATAAATTGCAACTACATTTTAGGGATTAAATGCGCGACAAAGTGCCATACAAGAGGTTTAGTTGTTTCTTATCTCATGCCACAGACGCAACAAAAGAGTGACTGTGTGGGAGTGTGCGTGCCCACTGTGCATTTGTGAACTTTTGGTTGCCCGAGTAACCCATTGATAAGGCCTAGCTTGACTCCACTGCCCAAAGAATCCCATTGTGCCCACAGGCGCACTGTACTAAATCGCTGTTGTGTGATCCTGTACTACTGTCGGGCAGACAATAAAAAGATGGGAGAGGTTTCCCCCCGGCCCCTCCATTTTTCATTTGCAACTCGTAGAACCCGAGAATGAATATCAGCACCTTGGACAGCAATTCTCCAGTCCAGGTGGTTGCAAGTAAGCTGAACTTTTGTTCTCAGGTGGAACCACGTGACGTCTCAGTGTTGGCGCTGCGAAATTACCAAAACTTAGTCTAGCCTGCCCCTGCGCAGAGTTACACCGCGCCTCGCGCCAGACTTGCACTGAACATGGAAATAGTGCGCCGTGTGGCTGTTCTTGTTCTTGACAGTAGTGGATTCAATGAAAACAGGACCAGTTTTTAACATGCCAATTTGTCGAAATATTTGCGATTAATATTCTGCATCGGGCTACCGCGTATCATGCACTCCATTGAGCGTACATTTTATAACTGGGAAAATGCTGCCGTACCTGTCATAGTCCCCGTTGCAAAGGGCGCGAACGGGGATTTTAAAAGCCTGCCACACAGGGTTCAATGTGTTCTTCACCACTTCTGTTTTGTGGCAAATGGTGAACCTGCAGAGAGAAAGATCGGGGATAAAAGATTAGCGGGGCGCCATGTAAGTTCGGTGAACATAAATGGACATATTTCCTTACCCAAGCCCCCCCCTCCTCACTCAAATTGTTGCACATGTTGTGCGCAAACATCACCTCCTCCAACCTGATTTCAAAGACCTCTTTGGATCCGGAGGGAAGGACGAAATCAATGAAACCAATTTCCTCTGGATGCAGAGGAGGATTAAAGCCCCCCCTAAAGCAGAGTAGAAGAAAAGAGCAACGCACGTGCTGTCCTCGTTGCTCCTGTAGAAGACCAGGAAGGGGTCCGACTTGCCGAAAAAATCCTTCTTGTCCAACTTGTTGCCGCAAAACTGCATCATAACCGACTCCTGGTGAACACACGACAAGGGCAAGGCGTGACTTGCGAGCAATGTTATTCGTTCAGTCGTCGGAACCAATCATCAGTCCGTCCCCTCACCCTGCAATTGTTCAGCTCCTCGGCTTTCACGATGATAGTGCCGCATTTTTTGCCGGAAATGCCGCTGTCAACAAAAACACACATAAGAAAAACAAAATCTATATTTTTTTAAGAAAAGCTTACAGGAGCTCATGAGCATATTTTGTATATGTGCAAGCACACAATGCAAGTATTCTGTACAAGCCAAAGGCCAAAACACGTCACAAAAAAAAAAAAAAATTTAAATGTGAATGCGCCATTTTACTCTGACACACATTCGTAGGCAACGTTTCGGTGCGCCTCCCTTTTACAAGTCACAAAGAGCACTCTGTTGTGAGGCACTGACAGCATCCAGAAAAATGGAGGCAAGGAGCGAGGCCGGTTGAGAGGGAGAATAACGACGCGGAAAAGTGCAGATGCTGCGCGGCGATTGCGTTTCACTTCACTGTCGCGCTGGCAAAGGTGGAAAGAGGTGATGCATGTGGGCGGAAGTCGTCCCCTCCCCCCTGCCCCGAGTAAACATCGCCTTGAAGGGGAACTCGATTTCATCATTACAGCGCCCAACCGTACGCTGCGAAAGCGGTGGTTCAGTAGCCGTGATGTCACTTTTATCGTACGCCATTCCCCGTGTAGTCTAACGAGAGCCGACACAATAGCATTTTTTGTCTCCTGTGTGGGGGTACAAAAAAGCCCGGCGACGCGCCTCGAAATAACTTTTAAAGAGGTCTGGCAATCTGACAAAAGAAGCAGGTCGTCTGATGAGCTCCACTTTGCGAGTACCACCTGACAGGAGAGCGACTCAGGCGGCCGTTTAAACAGCCTGGAATTGGGGTCAAAGAGCGCAGCTTGAAGCGAAATGCGAGTCTTCTCGTTTCAGCACGAGGGGAAATGCTTCCCAGGTGCCACGCGAGAGGCGCCCCTGCAACGTCGCCGAATTTCAAGCCATCAAGTCACATTTTCAGTGCGCAAAAGGGGCAGTTGGTCGGAGGTTTATAATTAACTTCGCATCTCTGCTACTTTCTGTGGGCCATTCAATGCCGTTTTTCATTCGACTATTTGAGTTGGGGGGTTTTTTGGGGTGTGTGTGTGTGTGTGTGTGTCAGTTTTACAGTAAACTTCAACCGGGCGTGACAAATAGTTTGAAGCAAGCACACCGGAGTTCTTATTTGGAGAACTGTGCAAGCGAGGGAGTGAGATCAGGTGATAAGTGATACTTGAAAAAGTGTGTTTTAAAATGTTGAAGTGTTTCAAATGTGTGGGAGGTGTCAAACTATCGAGCACGTGTTGATTTTTTTATATTTTTTTATACAGTATGGTCTTTCTAAATAGCAGATTTTCACATGCTGCTGATGGATCTGGCCTTGAAACGAAAAAGGAAGCGATGAAACAAAAGTCAAGAGCGCAAGATGGCTTTGTAAGTGCCGCGAAAGATGAGTTTCATTGAAAGTTTGAAGCGATGTGGGTTTATGTCCTGTGCACAATCATGCGCGTGTACACGTGTCTGCCGGTGTTCAGTAAACAACAGCGAAGAGTAGCACGAGTCATAGAAAGGACTGTAAAAAAACACACACAGAAAGAGTTTGCTTTAAAAAAAAAAAAAGGCAATACGGCGGAGCGAGTGAACGAGTGAAAGTTCCACATCCAGGAACTTGAGCGGTTTTACTTTGGCTACGAAGACGAGCGGTTCCAAGACGCGGGAACGTGGCTCCTTTTCCCTTTTAGCATCGACGCGAGACAGACACCCGCTCCGAAGAATACTTTCTGAGTGCGAGCATGTGAGAGGGAGGGAAAAGCAGTGAATCCTCTAATCAAGGGACAAGGATTTGCAATCAGGCTCCGGCCCGAGACAGGTAATTACGTTTTGGGCTGCGCAAGCATAACCGGCGAAACCGATACTACAGTACATATCCATCTCGTAATCAGTGAACGGGAACATATACAGCGTCGAGGTAATTACTTATAACCGTAAAGTGTCTGACCCTCCCATACAGAGGCTTACAATCACATATTTTGTTTGCGTCGGGTGTACGTTCTGGTTCGCCGAGTCCAGAGATGGGCAACTTTCATGATTACCTTAAAGGTGGCCACATAGGATCCTGTGTCTCCTAACCAGGTGTGCGACAGAAATTCCATTTCAAATATGGATACAAATGTTAGAAGCTGCTCGTCAACGGTTCTGGTAGGCGGTGGGGGGGGGGGGGCTCTCTCTCTGTTGTTTGTGTATTTTTGATTGGAGAGCTTTTTTGGCGGGCAATGTTATTGGTGATGAAAATGCAAATTTCCAGGACAGTGTCTCGAGAGGCACTCACAAAAGCAGGAGTGCTCTCATGCAAATTTCACTCAACAATGAGTCAGGGTGACACATTGGAGCTTATCAGTCGGGAAGAGCCCTCGGGATATCTATGAGCCTCACGTTCACGGCACTCGACTGACGCAAGCACCCAACGGTAAACCATTTGTTTAACTTTTGACCGGCAAATGCTTGACACAAGCCTAAAGTGTTTCTGTGGTGGTTACGTTTCAATTTTCATCTCACGTGCACGCGCGCGGGCTACAATGGATCCCTCCGGAGATTGATTGAACAATGAAATTAGCCGTCATTAGCCCTCATTTAAAATTTGTTGAAGAGCTCCCCTGATGTGTCAAGCAGCAGGTGTGTCCGCTTGACAAGGCCTTACGCACACATAGAAATATTTGTCGAAATAAAGCCGATGAAATGGACGCCGGGAGGTGTCGGGATTTTAAGTTTGCGTCATTTTGCGTGTCACTTTTGAGCGGCCAAAGTATACGCACATTCACACGTCTGAGGTCCACTCACCCGAGAGGCTTTTCTAAGCGGCTGCCCAAAGACCCGACCGCCTCGCCCAATGTACAGTAGGCCTGGCCCAGAAAGTCCTGCGGAGTTAATGACAGAGGAGAAGCAAATTAAAAAAAAAATAGCGAGAATTTGCTCAGTAGTCAGGGCTAAAAAGCCCGAAAGAAATGAAAAGTCACCGCCAGACAGACCCAAAACCGTTTCAGTGGCCCCTTTACATTCCCCATTGGGAGATAATATTGGCAAGAAGATTGAGTCTTTCTCCCAATAGCCCTCACAGCTGCCCCACTCGGCTCCCCTGCCACTTTCCTGCGAAATTAAATTCCATTTTCACAGCGCACGGAATGAGACTTCACATTGGAAGAGACAGAAATGCAAGAGGAGAGCATGTAGCCCAAACACGGGAAACGGACGTGCGCCGCACATGACGCTGTAAACGAATAAATGAATTTGTAAGCGAGCTACTTGGGAAATATGGCATCTCCACACGTCTTGGCGAGGAGCAGACATGATGAGAACGTTTGTCAAGATCCTACACGAGAGAGGCACAGACATGATTGAGCCTTTTGGCGTCTTTTTTTTTTTTTTTTGGTATCAGCAGCCACGGTGTGAGCTGCTGCTGTTTTATGATGCGGTTTAATATGACCCCCCCCCCACCCTTAAGATGACATAGATGGACTGTCGCATTCAGATTTCATTGAATCTGCTTCAGCGAGGTTATTGTCATGATCATTTGTTGTTGGAATGAGAGAGGCTGCTAATAAAGCCGCCGCTGGGTCATTAAGGCACAAAATGGAACGCAGATCATGACTTGAATTTGCTCTTACCTCATTAGTTTGTATTTTACGACAACAATAGAAACTGTGTCTGTGTGTAACTAAAAGATCAATTTGATATTAAGCAGCATTAGCACTACATAAAAAAAAAAAAAAACAAAGATCATGAAGTTGTGTGGGCGCAGCTCGATTCACTAGGAAAAAGTTCAATGTGACGCTTTAAAATCGACAGAAGAGGAATGTGGGTGCGCGCGCGACTGTCATTTCACGTTTCCAGAAGACACTACTAATTAAATGCTAAAACCGTCGACATATTAAATACCTCCAAAAGCCTTTGTTGCCAGAACGGATTTAGATTCCTAAACAATCCTTCATGGAGAACTTTGGAGTTGCTCTGTGGTTTGTCTTGATGAGCAGGTCTTCATTGTTCGTCGTCCATGTCTTACGTACGATACCATTTCAAACAAAAGCTTAAGTGTGCGCTCGCTGCCGAAATATTGGTTGAATTGTCAACTTTGTATCCTGCGGCGTCTTCGTTTACAGATCGCACACCGGTGGGCTCTGTATGAGAGTGTGCGTGCCATATTTCCCTCCATATTTCGTCGGCGTTCTCAACCGGTTCCCAGGTGTGACCGTAGCCTACACCTTTCATGTTGAAACACATCTAATGGATTGGCTCTGTGGCTTCTCCCCCCCCCCCCCCGCGCCCACGTCCCTTTGGAGACCAGCATCATCTAAGAGGGGGAGGTGGGGAGGGGGGGGCGCGCCTGTCTCTTCTTGTACCGGGTTTATTGATTTCGAGATGATGGGATGGCGAGGGGCAGGGGAGGGAAGACACATTGACGGAGTGCAACGGGGAAAAGGAGAAATAGAAAGACGGTGACAGAGGAAAAGAGACAAAATAGAAATGTGACGGAAAGCCACGGTGGGAAAGAAAATGATGGCTGGGAATTTCATTTACTATCATTATCAGGATCAGCATTACATTGATTTGTCACTTCCAATGAGGATCAATTGTAGGTGCAGTACAGGAGAGTAAAAAGGAGATGATGAGGGGGGCCAGAATTGTCATTTTTCAGATTATGATAATACGATTGTCCTGTATTTATTTATTTTTTTTTCTGAACCACAAAATCATGGTGTGATTGTCAAGGAAGAATCAGATGGCCACAAAGCGGAGGAAATAGGCGACAATAAGGAGTGTATTTATCATCCTAACACAGGCAACATATTGTTCCACTAATATCTTTTCTCCTCATGCACTTGTTTAGTTAATTGCCTAAAAATCAGCCAAAAGCTGCGCAAGGGTTATTTTCCTAGAGCACATGATAAACACACTCAGTGTAATGACCCGATGACTGTTGTGTGGCTGAATTGCTACTAATGGGAGTTATTAGCCAGAGCGCCTTGTGTCTCTCTCTCTCTCTCACACACACACACACACACACACACACACACACACACACACACACACACACACACACACACACACACACACACACACACACACGGCCCTTTAACACACAGTGGGATCAGAAAGAGAGAAGCAGCGGTCGAAACGGACAGGACAAGTTTGGGTACTCACGTGTTTGGAGAGGTTCGCACTCTTGGAGTCGACGTCGTACCTACGCAGAGGGGAGAGCGCGAGCGATGTGGTGAATTACAACGTTGGGGGTGGGGGGCAAAAGCTCAGCTGGGAACACAACGGGGGATTGCAGACGGATACTGGGCCAGGCAGCTTGTCACCAGCAATCGCACCAGAAGCGGCGGGAATGCACTTCGCGGCGTCGCAGGCTTTCCCCCGCTAAACTGACACTGAACGGACTAATTGGATGTCACACATACAATTGCGAGGGGATCTATATTCTGTGCGAGAGGGCTTTCGAGATACTTGGAATGTCTGGTATGGCTGACCGACCGATCATTGAGAGGATTATTCACACCTCATATTCCTCGCACAATACCCGCCGAGAGAAAATTTTCCCCCGAAATAGCTCTCAAAAGTGCAGAGGCTCCTCATAAAAATTGGAGGCAATCAGGCAGACCATTCGTTCAACAATCGGAGATCATTTCACAGCTCCGGGTCAGCCGTCACTAAAAGTGCAGTGCCATTTATTGGGTAATATTTTGAAAGGGGGAAGATGGGGGTTGATTTAAAAGAACGTTCAGGGTGAAGAGTATCAAGTGGACTGTAATTAGGATTTGGGATATGACGCGTGGCTTCGAGGAGTCACTTTTAGCCTGCCCTCAATATAATTCTTCGCAGAACAATACCCAGTAATCACAGTGAACAGGCCTCCTCCTCTTCCTCCGTGCGTAACTGCTCAGCCCTCCCCTCTCTGCCCGCCGAGAAGTGAAGTGGAGGCAACTAATTTCGAAGTTTACTCAACTCTGCAAGCAGCCTGGTGATGGCCACTACTTGCAGTCGTTGACACCTTAGCTTTTGAAAACCGCGGTAAACGGTCAATCTTGTAATAACTTTGTGTGCTTGACTAAATTTGGTCGCTTTTCGTCATGCATAGAAATATGACAGACGTACGTCTGAGATTACAATTCAAATGCTTCTCTCCCTGTCTACTTTGATGTCACACCCAGGGCCCAGGTCACTTAGGACCTGGTTGTTATGGTTACCCTTTGTTACACTGCGCATAGAGCCGGAAACATGACACTCCGCTACGCGGGAATACTGAACACACGTGCGAGATCAAAACAGTTTTCTCTCGAGGACCGTGCGCAACACAGTGCGATAGCCGAGGTGAGCGGAGGCACGTACGGCATGCACACAAACATGGACCTACTCAAAAAAACAAGCCCCTAGAACATAGGCCCATGCTGTTTTAATTCATGTTGCTGCCTGTACTAGACCAAAAGCAAGGAAAGAAGATTGCCGCGATCAATACAACCTGAAGATTTGCTCCTAACTACCCCTCTCCGCTGTTATTACAGGTAATGCGGGATTGTGGATGACGGGCAGGCGAGCCGGGCCACCAAAAGCACATCGGAGGGCCATCAGATCAATCCTCGTAATCGAGAAGATGAAAGCTACAAATAACGGCCATTTGCCGCAGAAAATAATCATTGCCGGGAGATTATATTTTCAGCACTCTTATTGAACAGGTAAAAACCTACAAGGCAGACTTTCAATCAACTCTGGGCAAAGTCTCACTTACAAATCCCAGTCGGTTTATCTGCAGGTCTCACAGATTAGAATATAATTGGTTTGTGTCTAATAAAATAAAACCCGGCGAAATGCTCTCCTAATTCAATGAGGAATGTAATCAGAGAGTTCGGGGGAGCCACACCTGCGGTCATAGTTTGCTGATTTCATTTGCCCAAAGTCCTACCGTCTCGCAGCGGTATATGACTCACGCAAAGAAGCGCACATGAAAGGGTAAAGACGTCGCCATGGAGCTTTGTCTGTTCATACACGGGCTGACGCGGACGTGGAGCGGAAAACCCGAGGACGTGGGAGAAATAAGACAACCTGGCGCTGGTGTCAACTCTAAAAATAAATAAACAAAAATCACTTTTTCTGTCGTGTGTTTCTTCGAACCGATTCCTGGGGAAATCACTGAAGACCTGCTCCGGAAGCCTTGAGCCTTATTTTATTTTGCACAGAAACACACACACACACACACAAAAAAATACTGCTTACTTACAAGTCAAATCGAAGGTTCTGCCGCTCTTCAAAGAAGTAGTCCAAAATGAATTTCCGCACAAAGTCTGGATTCAGCGTGTTGTCAATCACCTCGGTTCTCCCAAACTGAAAATCAAACAAAACGGGGGGAACACAAACACGTAAAACCCTTCAATGTAGCTACCACCCGGACAGTAAATAACCTAACTGAGGTAAGGCCATTAATGAGAGCAGCGGTGATTCATGTGCATAATTTGTCAAGTTCCTACTCGAGAGCAAAAGTGGCTGGTGAGACTATTATGGCGAGTAATCAATGCGGAGCCGCTGACAGATCATGTCAATGAGGGTCAGGCAGTCTCTGCTTTGGCATTTAAGCGTCGCCTATTAACGATGCGAGCGGGCGACGGGGACTACTCAGAGCGATGAATAACCGCAAATGATTGCGCGCAGAGATTTAGCCCCTCATTTCCATTCATAAATTTTCAGCACTTATTGCGGCGCAGTTAGCCACATGTTCGCAGACGTGTCTCACATATTGGGGTTGTTTTTTAAAATGAATAAATAAATGAAGGGGGTGCTCAAAGAGCCCCGTTATTGCGTCTTGGATATTGGCTTGTATTGTTTTGCAAGGCCTGAATGGACACCGACAGCTCACAAAAGCAAAAGGTGCAAGGTCCAAAATTCAGACAATCGGTTAATCAGCAGATAAATTAAATGAAAAGCTTAATGGGGAAAAATACAAATAACAAGCTAAACACCCACCTCTCTCCATTCCTTGTTGCCCATGCCTTGTGTGTAGAGGACGCAAACTGAAAACAAAAATACACAAGGGACACATAACATTAACGTCGTCAAAAGTTTCAACACGACCAACAAGCTCCAATCAGAATGCGATTCCTGCACCTTCACGAAGGAAACATCAAAGCGCTAATAGTGTACATTTATACGTAATGCCGCCATCACGACACGTGCACGTAATTCTCCTCTTCCAACAGGGGAAGCAAATAGTTTCGGGGCATTTTGGCAATTTCCCGGAAGTAATTATCTAAAAGCTGAAATAATAGCGCTCACTCTTTGATGTCATTTCAGATAAGTGTGTATTCCTGTATTAACATACTGGTGGGGGGGGGGGGGGGGGAAAAATCAGTGGGGAGAAGAACAAAATTGGAAGAGAAACATTTTCAAGTTGCTCTTTTCCCTCCGCGGGCCGTCACTTCATGTATGGTCCTCCCACTCGCCGCCATTATGTTCATCACTGTCACCCTCGCGTCATCCCCCACCGCACACATCACCGTCAGCGTCGTCACCTTGTCATTCGTACCCCACGTTGGTTTTGTGCTGACACGTTTTTGTGGCGATTGCGCCATTGCTTGATGCATTTCATCCCCCTCCGACTCGGTTCCCCACTCACCCCTTTGTTTGCCTGTTGACAAAACAAAAGCATGTTGGTCTTACTTGGGTCCGATTTGGAGAACGTGTCTCTGTCCAGCAGGTTTCTGCGAAAAAAAGGAAACAGAGGTGTGGTTCAGTCACGGCCGGCGAATGAGTGGACAACAGAGATTCGCAATCCAATAGATGCAGAGGGACGCAAAGGCCGTGAGCAAGATAGCGGAAAGGCAAGACGGCTCGCTCAAATGAACCGACTGGTATGAATGGGGCGCATGAGCGCTAATCATTATTTCTAATTTGAGAATAGAAAGATGAATGGTGGTACTTAATTTGAGTGCGGGTGGGGGACATCTTCAAGCATCGAGTGGGCTCGCTCGATTGTCAAGGAGGTGCAGCCCGGCTCAGGCTTTGATGAGAACCGATTTCGATATCTAACCGTATCCGTCAAGGATCCTCGACAAAAGCCCCTTTCGCACTGCACGTAGATCCACGCTCCCCGACGCAAACCACCAACCTTGACAGCGTGTTGAAAAAATTTCTCCGATTACTCCATCCATCGATGGGTTGGTTGGGGGGAATAATCAACCCCACAAAATTTTGATCGCTGCAGAAAAGGCAAGCCCAGATCAAATTCAACCCATATTGTGGTGAGGTGGAAACACGGCTCGATATTCTGAACAGCCGCTCGGCATCAATCATGGGAGGAAAGCTGGTAAACTCGGCAAATCCGAGGGTGGTTTTCTGTGCCGAGTCGGGGGTAACATTTCGGGAGGATCTAAAATACGCATCTTCCCCCGCAGAGCATATTTAAGGCTTCACGGTGCACGAGCAGCCGCTGCTCAGAGCGCATCAGGCATGGTGGCACTCCAAATGGGCTCCTGGGCTCCCCCTGTCAGTGTGTGTGCGTGCGTAAGACCCGATTTCAGGATTTCCACCTCAGAGGAGAACGTGAATGATTCATAGCTCTCTCTCACTCTGGTTTTCTCTCCCCAGCCTTCCTTTTTTTTTTTGTTTTTTTGTTTTTTTATCCCAAGGCAGGGGCCGGAAAACTAAAAGCTGCCCACCCGATTCAGACAGGTCTGAAGGGATAAAAGGTTCCCAAGTCAAATATTTTTTTTTTCCTGGTAATGTTTTACTGCTGCGATATACAACAGACAAAATGCCTACAATGGATTTAAAAAATAACGAAATAAAAATACATTATTGTAATCAAGTGGGCTTTTTGGATTTCAACTTGCAGATTGTTCCAAAGCAGTCTATTTATCCCGCTTTTTTATTTCCCCTTGGCTAACAAACACCAGCCCGCTTTTACAATCATGTTCAAATGTCAAACGCTAAAATATTCTGCATGAATACATGCCATTGCCCTTTTCAAGCACTCACTTATACAGTTGCCAAATAAAGAGCAAAACTAGGCATGAAGCACAACGTCCTTTTGACGATTACTTGGACATGAACTGAGCAACAACAACAAAAATGTATCGATATATATTTCATTTATCTGACAACCAACAGCTATGCAGATTACGTTCATTCGTTTGCTCGCAATTATGCAGAAGCAAAAAGACTCATCAGTCAACAATTTCCCAGGAAAACTCTGCATCTGATTGGAATTGCCGGTTTAGTGTTTCACGGCTCGTTGCAGAGCCGCACGATAAAAGCTGGACAGTTACCATAGCAACTTAATGACAGCCTACTGTGGCACCTTGACCGGTATAGTCGCTGTATGTTTTTCCGCACGGGTTTGAGGTATTTCACCTTTTCCGCTATAATGCATCAGCTCCATCGGAAGCGCGGCTCCCATTTTGGGGCTTAATACAAACACACACTACGCGCCGATGTTGCTTTTTGGGCAACGCCCGAGAGGTCACGCCACTGATGTTGTGTCACGCCGCCCGACAAGACCTTCTCTTCTGGAAAACATTTCTCGCTGGAGAAAAGAGATGGCAGAAAAAGGGAGAATGTCAAAATAAAAAGTCAATAAAAGAATATATATCAGCCAGGTAATTCCCTTTCAAATTATACGCCCCACATTTCGCCGGGAGAATGTTTTGGTATTTCGCGCCCTCTTTGCCATCCTTTGCTCTCTTTCCTGCCTCCTCTCTGATCTCACCTCATGGTGAAAAGGGGATTTTCTCAAAGACAGCCGCAGGCGCCCATTGGGTTTTTTTTTCCCTGCCCCTCTTCTCTCTTATTTCTTCATCCCTCCTTCCACAGTCACTGCCATTCTGGCTCTAGTTCCTTCCGTCGGTCGCCAATTTGACCGTGACCTGAAAAAAGTAAGGTCTGGGGAGACTGAACTAAATACACTTACGCACATTCAGTATGGAGACCACACACACACAGCGCAAAAGTGTACACGGTCTAGTGCTTATCCAGTTCAACACTCACACTCACCTTGTGCGGATGACTGCAAACAAGTACTCAATTTTGTTCTGTAACACGGTGCTCAAAGACTACCATTACAAATCAAGACTTATTCACAGACAGATGAAAAGATGTTTTAGCCCAAGGCTAAAACATTTTTGTACAATTTGCGCAAAAAAAAAAAAAGGTACACAAAGTGGAGGCAGCTGTTCTTCATTAATTTGTTTTCATTTGTTTCTATGCCAATCAATCAAAATATGTCTTGTTAAACTAGTTTGTGGTTCAAAAAAAAAGGTTGGGTCGTGGAGGTAGAAGGCCTTGAATTTTAAAATGTGCTTTCTCTGCATAGCCATGACAAAAGGGTAGCTGAACAGAAGGGGTCCGAGAATTGACACTTGGGGGACCCCATACGTCATGGCCATTCGATCAGATTTCAAACTTTGTGTGTGTGTTTCAATCTGCTTGGCCTTTCTCCCGCTCCCAAAGAAAATACTAACAAGCCCTCACGCATTTCTTGAACCCGTTTCAAAGTAACTTAATACGAACACGCTTCTCGTGACACACCTAAGATTTGTGGTTTAAGTGCGCCGTATTATCGCGCAGTTCCATTTACAATTTGGCGCGGCTGTACAGTAGCAGCGCCAACATGAGGTGAGTAGTTGCGCATAGCAACGGAGCGGGAATATTCTTGGAGACGCAGTACGAGAGGGGAACCCAACCGGGCATGCTCCGATGTTCTCAACAGGTCGCCGAGCACACAGCCACAAGTACCTGTTCTTTTTTTTTTTTTTTTTTTTTCCCCCCCCCCCCTCACTCGTACCAATTTCCCCTCCACTGCTTCTTTTTCGCCTTGCATTTTTCATTGATCTATCCCATTTGATGAGCATCTCACTGCCCCCCCCCCTACATACACACACACACACACACACACGCACACACACACACACACACACACACACACACACACTCTGCAGGAGAGCATCAGCAGCTTGTATTTTCTCTCCGCTTCTCCAAGAGGGCTGCCCTAATTCTTCCTGACAAGGGTTGGGAGAGCCAAGAGAACATCTCGGCGCGCGCACACGCACGCACAAGCACAAGCAGACACGCCGGCGTCCACGTGTGCGACAAACTACACATCCGTCATGTACGCTGCACATCTGCGCCGGTGGCATTTCACCTTAATTGCCTTTGTCATGCCGCTTTCGGTGCGGTTTAGTCCGACTGGCCTCCATCAGCACGTGTCACGGGCCAAATGCTGTCAGCTGCCTGCCATTCGGGGAAAACATTCTAAATGATACCAAACTGATGAGAATGACCTGCTCATCTTTTTTTTTACAGCCGTATGTTGTTTGTGTGTGTGCATTTTGAATGTGTGTCATATCTGAGCGCGACTAAGCTCCTGTGTGTCTTTCTGCAATTGTTTGGCCTCCTGAAAACGCGACAGGAGGTTTTTTTTTTTTTTTTTCCCGTAGCTGTACATGATGTTATTAAGAGGAACCTAAATGTCCGTTTCTACATGCGAGAAGGAGAAAGAGAGAGACTCCGTGCTTGTCTGTGCAGACTGAGGCCAGGGGCGGTTCCTTATGCGAGAGAGTTAAGACAGCCTCCGAGAGGAATTCAAACAGCTTCTGTCTTGTGTGACAGGGGACGTGACTTCATTAGGGCTGATTTCTCTTGCTTTCCGGACTCCTCGCTGTAAACAAGGCCGCGGCGGCTTGTCAAGTGCACGCGAGGGCATCTTATTGCGGAATGGTCAGAATTAGTGTCACGGTCGTCGATCCGAAAAGCTCTCGAGACAGCTGCGACATCATTTGTGGGGAAAATCGGGTGGAGGGAAAGCTGTTGTCTTGCCGATTTTTTTTTTTTTTTTTTTGTCATGAAGTGTAATTCAGATTTGATCCGATGTCTATCGATCCTGTGGGAGCTCATCTACATCCATGGTAATGAAATGTCACAGCAGCACAGTGAGCCCTGCTGCTTATGGGCGCTGAAATGTCATCGACGGAATGACTGACAGATCGCGCGTGTGCCAGTGCTCCCGATGTTTGTGTGCAGGCTTTAAAGCGTTTCGTATGGCGGAGAGATTTTTCACGGCGGAATTTTGATTTTTCGTTGCCTCAACGGGTAAAGAGTACAAATCATTTATCAGTACCCTGGCATTCATTTTTTCCAGTGATGAGCCGATAGCCATCAATCATGATGTGTTAAGCATACTCATGTCTACGCTAACGCCGATTCAGCGTAACGGCCCCCCTCGAGCTCCCACAGCGGCGAGTTACGAAAGGGTTCAAGTGGGCTCTCTGGTGGTCCACTTGCGCTGCGCTTTGAAAACCGGTGAGTGATTCGTATGTCAACGGCTTGCCCTTCGTCACATATTGGCAAAATTGGATGCCAACCGAACAAACAAATAAATAAATCTGATAAAATCATCACAAAACGTAGATGACTTTCCCAATCTGTCCTTTTTTTGCCCCCCCCCACCCTCCTCCTACACATACACCTCAACAGCCATAAATTCCTTTTTAACATGGCGTAACCAACACACACACACACACACACACACACACACGCACACACACACGCACACAGTGTGACTTTCATGGCAAACCAGTCGAAGGAAAAGAGCAACAGAAGGAAAGGGGTCGATTGTAATTTCCTCACAGTGCATAAATCTTTACAGCCTTGAGTCTGAACCGCACGGCAACACCACTTGGGCCTGGGAAACGCACTTAAACTCACG